ATAGACAATGGAAATGTTTATGTGAGTCCTCCAGATTTGTCTGTTAGCTTTGACTCTGATTATTATGCTGAAAAGTTCAAACAAGGTGGTGAATTAGCTATGGGAAAACAACCCACTCAGAAGCCACAGAGTAGGTCATGGCCAGACAGCCAGAATCCTGGGGAATGCACAAATGAAGAATCTGCTGGGAAATAAAAATGCACTGTGCCATGAAGATTGTCTCCAAATTAAATTCTAATATTGTTATGTTAAAGCATTGAAATACATAGAAATGAACAGGATAAGAACTGCATTGTCATAAATGTGTCTGATTTTGTGCTGAGGATATTTTTTTCACTTGCATTTCAAAAAAAAAGACTTAATTACAGCAGAGTGCCTCACAATATTTGGTATTTTGCTAGAACTCTTTTAATTTTTAAGAGGGGATATAGTATACTATGGCTTATAAAACTTACTACATAATTAAAAGTGGATAATCAGGTGTAAAGGTTATCTTTATATACTTAACAGTTTATACTTCTAATACCTGTGGTAAAAATGACATGGAAACTTTTAACTTTTAAGATATTTGTGTGATCTCTAGCTATTTATTAAATGCCAAAAAGGGAAGCACAGAATTCCAGAATTTTTAGTGCACTCTTTTATGCCTATTTGTGCATTACTACCTTGAGTATATAGATGCATTTCTTTTCCTTCTTCTCACTGAATTCCTCGTTAGTTCATTGAATAATGCAGCAAGAATTTATTATGTATAGCTTGTTCTTCCTGGTTCTGTTGGTTAAAGAGAGAGCTGTTTGGTGTGATATATAAATTAGTGACCCTTGTTTGCTTGTTTTTCTTTATTGCAACCACATTTTTCTACATTCATTTGAAAAAAAAAAAAAGTGCTGTCTATGTAGAGGCAAATCCTGTGTTTTTCTCTGTGTGTTTGCTGTCCAATATCAGATCTCCCCCAAAAACCCCTTCTAAGGAAGTTCCTCTCTGAGCTCTGCTGCACTCCAGGATGTGGTGGGTTCTACTGTTCAGCCTGTAGAGTGCAGAGACAGAACACAGAGTCATTGAGGCTGGAAACACCTCTAAGACCATCAAACCCAACCCTTAGATCAGCACTGCCAAGCCCACCATGTCCCCAAATGCCACATCTACACTCCTTTTAAATACGCCATTCTGCATGGCTGCAATCCTTCAGTGTGGGATTTTTTTTGGTGTGATTTGTTGTTTTTTTGAAAAGTTCATTCATAGCCAGGTTCTTGTGTTTGCCGCAGGCTGTCTTGCTTTTAATGCCTGTCACGGGTAACTAGGCCTGTGTCAACACTGTTGTTGATACAAATCTGTTTAGAAGTAGTGAGGCAGAGGGAAGAGTGAAAGGAAAATTTGTACTGCATTGATCACAATGAATAAAGCAAAGTACACAGTCAATTAATTTCACTACAGCTAGATTGAGAGGAAACCACCTCTGGTCATGCCTCCTTGACATGGTTTTTGCAGTTGACAGGGAAAAGTGTTACCTTGAAAGTGCTGCTGAGCTGACCCACCCCAGTTCTGCATTTTATAAGAACTACAGCACAGAAATGCTTTTCTTGCCATCGTCCTCTTCCTCCTCCTCCTCTTCCTCTCCCTGACCACTCAGCCAGCCAGTGCCCATGATCAGATGCAAATGCCTGCCCTCCTTCAGGTGAATCACACCTTGATTACCTGCTATGAAATGCTGTTCTGAACTGACCAGTTCTGTGATTTGTTGGGGTTTTTTATCACAATTTGTTTGCTTTTAAATGAATAGATTAACTCTTTTCTCTTGAAGCCACTGGGTAGATGGCAGGAAGGTGGAGCAGGTACCTTCCCACCATCTACCCCGCATGGAGCCCCAAGGGGCTTGGGTGGTGTCAGGGGGGTGCAGAATTGCTGCCCTTCCCTCCCTCCTCACCCAGCTACCTGCACCTGAGATTAAACTTGACCACAGACGTTGTGTCCTAGTCAAAGACACGGATCACATAAAAGGAGAGTATTGCAAGAACTTCAGATACACCTGCATTAACTCATGTGATTGCTGAGATAGTACTTTCACTGACTTTTCTTGAAGTAGTGCATTACCGGAAATTCACTCTTTAAATTAACAAAGATGCAGTTCATTTTAAGATAGCACTGACTCTGAACAATATGCTATTATCTGTATGATGTTTAGAAGAATGATGAAAATAGGAATTTTTATTTGAAAGCTTCATGGACATGTTCTCGCTAGTGGAAGAGTACTCAGGATTCTGCAGAATTTCATTTACTGGCTAAAATTCAGAAAAGTGTTTAATCATGGGCTTACACTTAATCATATTGAATAAATGCAACTGCATGTCCAGGCATAGGTAAATCCTTTCTCTTCAGTACTTCTCAAGCATAACAGCTATCTGCAAGAGTTTATGGCTATTTTGCCTCTTTTTTTCTTAAGTGTTCTTTCCCAGGAAGTTTGCCCATTAGATTTCATTCCCCTCGATTTTCCTGTTGATGATCACAGAAGGAACAGAAAATTATTAACTTAGGCAGCTGTGAGCAGGGAAGGCTGGTGGGCTGTTAGTTTTTTATTTTATTTTACCCTTTCACCTTTCTGCTTTTCCCTTTTTTCCTTTTTCATTTTTTTCTTTCTTCTTTTCTCTTTCTTTTCTCTTTCTTTTTTTTTTTAATTTTTGAGAGCAAAGAACAAAACCTCTCTTTCAATATAGTAAAGTCGCTACCTTTAAAAAAATGCATGCACTGTTTTGAGCTTTGAAGTGCTAGACTGTGCACCTAATTTGAAAATAATTTAAATATTTAATGTCCTATAGTTGAACATTCTGAGTCTCTCATGTGGCATTTAAGGCACAATGAAGAGGCAGGAGGAATGAGTAGCTGTGGGCAGAGGTCAGTGAGTCAGTGGCTGGATAATTACTGCTTCCTAGAGAGGTGTGTTAATGACAGCAATCAGCCAAGCCATTCCAGAAGAGTGTTTTCTTTGTTTGTGGGAAGGGAAGTTTAGTTTAATTTGACAAATGAACAAATACCATCTGTTTTTCATCACAGATCAGCCAGGCAGGGAGCAGAGAAGTACCTTCTTTGCTTTGGAAGGAAAATTTTTGTGATGATTTGGTATGGTATTAAGTCTCTATAATAAACAAGCAGTTTGAAGACAGTAAATAAATTATGTTCTGCTATCATGGACTCATCTTTTCTAGAAAGACAAGTGAAACTGTGTAGCAGTTTGAAGTGCAGAGTGAGCCTTGACCTGATGTGCCTGCACTGCAAACTCTGATTAGATGGTGCGGGCTATAAATCTGGGGGCTGTCCTTTTCCTTCTATTTGTAGTGCCTTGATTTGCAATGCTCCCATGGCTGCACATTAAATTAAGGACCCTTCCAATGTAAAACATGCCATTAAGCTGGGAATGAGAAGTTCATTATGGAGCATATAACTTGGGGGAGGACAGTTTGCAGGATGGCAGAACACAGAGAGAGAAAAATGTTCATTCTGTAGGAAAGAAATTTTTTTTAAAAAAATAGATTTTCACCACTGAAGCCCTTTTCAATAGCTTTGTGCAGCTCCTAATTTTATACTTAATATAGGAATGAAATCAGTTCTGAATTTTGCATCCCTGGTTCCTGAAATGACCGGAAGTATCTTATCTGGTTCCCTTGCTGCTGGTACAAACACGGACTGTGAGAGTCAGAGCTCACCAACCCCCATCACTCTGCACCACTGGCTTGGCAAGTTCTTTCCAAGGTTACTAGGGGAAGCAGGGGATGAGGAATGGAAATAATACCAGTGGAGAGATCCTTCAGCCTCTGTGTGTGTGGGGGGAGGCTGCCCTTGGTTGGCAGAGCCCTGGGAGAGCGGCTGCCACTGCAGACCTGGCCACGGTTGCACCTGAGGTGCCGGTGTTATGAATATGAACAAGATCAAACTTTCTCTGGAGAAAGAGGTTCTCGTTTATTAAAATAGCTGCAAGGGATGGAGTACCCAGGATAAGCCCAAGCACCCACACAGCAAGCCAAAACCAGAACAGTGCGCTAACCCCAAGTGCACTGGGTTCTCCCCAGAAAACAAGTTTCCAAAAAGAAGAACCCCGGCCCAACCAAACTCCTCCAATTTTTAACACTCTTTGAGTCCAGAATGGTCCATTTTGGATCCGCATGGTGATTGTTCCATTTCCAGGCTTCTCATTGGTCTTTACCACCGTTCATTCTGGACCAATCGTTTCTGCAGGGCTTCGAATGATTGGTCAGATCTTCCATCCAATCCCTCTTCGACCTCGCCTTGCCCCGGCAGACCACCCTTCCACCAAACCCTGGACCCTTCTCCTAGCGCATTCTAATCAGCCCCCCCAGTCTTAACGTAATGCAATTAATATAACATAACTAATACAATATAATTGAACTATGTCCTAACTTAACATAACATAACTTTTACCTATAACAACTGAGTTGTGGTTTTCTTCTGGGCCAGCAACTCCAGCCAGCTTCATCAGCAGGTGAGCAGGACCATGCAGAGAGAGGCAGGAGTCAGTGAGGCTTCAAGGGGTGAGACAAATTGGGTCAGCTCTTCAAACTCCATTCTGCAAACGCTGTTTTTGATGTGGCATTTATTCATGCAGAACCATGGATTTCATTTAGTGGATTTTTTTAGCTGAATGAAGAGTTGAGCACAGTTTTCAGCCTCTGCCATCTATAAACTACTGAATAGATTAAAAGTGAAAGTGAAAGTTTTGCCTGTCAGTAAGAAAAACTGGAAAAGCAGTGTAGATATCCTGATGAGCCCATTTATGACTCTTCCTCCATGAGATGAAGAGCATTCCCTGACAAGCAGTACCTGAACAGTGGAATTGTTTTCCTGAAAGATGTCAGAGAAGTATGGTTTATTGTTGCCAACAATAGTAGTTAGAAATCCAAGACTTATGAAGACAACTCCAGAATAATTATTCTACCTGAAAGTAAAATACGTGTTCTCTTTTTAAAACAAACAAACAAATCAACCAACAAACAAACAGCTTTAAAAATAATTATTTATTTATTAATATTTATTAATTATTAAATATTAATTAATTTAACTGTTCCAATTACAATTAATTTTTTCTGCAGCTGTGGCTGACTAAGGATCCAGATAATGCAGAGATTACCAGTAGAGGTGATCCCTCTTTATTAAGACAGTCACTACAGTGGAAAAAATGGTGAAGCTTTTGCCCTTACTAAGGTAGGTCAGCTGCACCTGAAGGTTTTTGGATTTTTAATGTTTATATGACAGTTGCTCGAGGAGAGGTTTCACCTCTGCACACATATGTCCATCTGTGATTTCAATTAACATCTAAGAGTCACATTCAAGGGAAAACTACTTTTTTTAATTACAGTGTGTGCTGAACATCCCCCTCCCACCCCTCCCTCCCCCCAAAAAAATAAATTTACATATTTACTTGGCACAGATTGCCCCAGGAAAAACTGAATACTTGTGTAGCTTTGTTTTGGCCCAGGAAAGCACAGAAGAACAGTGAAGTAAAGGCCTCCCTTACATTCATTATATGGCCTTGAGTATTCTTGGCTTGGCACTGGCTCAGCACCCAGGAGACCAGCATGCCATCATTTGAAAAGCCAAGGATGCTCAGGATCAGCAGCACTTCCCTGGAGGCTGTGTCACCTTGCAGTGCTCATGATATTTTTCACAAGACTCAGCACTGAAAGAATACCTAAAGCTAAGATTAAGTTTGGAGGTGCAGCTGTTCACACCAATTTTCATTATCAGTTTTCTTGTGCTAAGCAGAATGGAGTTTTAATGTAACTGAATGGATATGCAAGGTCCTGCACCTGGATCAGGGCAATGCCAGGCACAAATACAGGCAGGGCAGAGAATGGAAGCTGCGAGGAGAAGGACTTGGGGTGTTGGGAGATGAGAAGTTCAAGATGAGCTGGCAATGAGCTCAGACAGCCCAGAAAGCCAAAAATGTGCTGGAGCAGAAATAGCAGTGTGGGCAGCAGGTTGAGGGAGGTGATTCCACAGCTGCACTCAGGTGAGACCCTACCTGCAGGGCTGCATCCAGCTCTGGGGCCACACTACAGAGGGATGTGGACCTGTTGGAGCAAGTCCAGAGAAGGCGATGAAGATGACCTGAGGCTGGAACCCCTCTGCTATGGAGACAGGCTGAGAGAGCTGGGGTTGATTAGCCTGGAGAAGATTCTGGGGCGATCTTAGAGTCCCTTCCAGTCTGTAAAGGTACTCCAAGAGAGCTGGATAGGGACTTTTGACAAGTGCCTGGAGTGACAGGAAAAGGGGGAATTGCTTCGAACTGACAGGGGGCAGGTTTAGATTGGGCATTGGGAAGAAATTCTTCCCTGTGAGGGGACAAGGCCCAGACACAGGGTGCCCAGAGAAGCTGTGGCTGCCCCATCCCTGTAAGTGTTCAAGGCCAGCATGGATGGGCTTTGTATGAGCAGGTCTGGTGGATGACATCCCTGCCCATGGCAGGGGGGTTGGAACTAGACACTCTTTAAGTGTCCCTTGCAACCCAAACAATTCTATGATTTTATGACTTTATGTGATGTGATACTGTGGTTACTTTTCCCATTGTTTTTTAATAGCTGATGGCTGTGAAACTGAAGCAGAAATAAACATTTTAAGTGTTTCCTAGTATTGGTATAGAGTATTAGTCTTCTATTAAAAAAGTGCAAATACTCTAACTGAAACAATAAAAATACCAAATGTGGTTTTGGCATTTACCCAAACACTCTTCCCAACTCCTCCCTACTGCAAAACTGAAACAAGACGGAACCCAAAATTTCCCTTGGGCTAAAAAAATAAATCTTGACTTCTTGTCTATTGAAGTTCAAATGGGACAAAACCAGAGCTGTTCTAAGTTCCCTTCCTGAGATGACAGATAAACAATGAAGCACATGGTGGCTGCCCCTTCCCCAGGGCAGCAGCTTTGCTGTCCCAGAGTGGTGACAAGCTGTCTTGTTTCCACAGCTGTGACATATTTACCCTCTCCTTACCTGTATAAGGCAGCTTGTCAGAGAGCTCCTGAACCCTCTTTGTCCCTGGCTCTGCAGAACTCGCCTCAGAGCAGGTGTGGCTTGGTCCAGCAAGGCTCAGATTTGCTTGACAGCCTGTATCTGAAGGGTTCTTGTATCAGCAGGTTCAGCCGGAAACACAGGTTTACAGTCTTTGGCCTTGTGGAATGCACAATAACAAAGGAACAAAGCACCTAGAGAGACACTTTATGGAGTTTTATCTCTGTTCTGTCCAGAAGTGAGTGTTCCTCAGACTTTCAGTTAATGTAACCTGCAGGCATTCCTGCAGGGGATTGGGGATTTGTGTGTGTTCCATTCAGAAGCTGCCTGCAACTTCATGAGTCCAGTTGTCCCAGTCTCCAACAGCATTTTACGCATTTTTGCAGGCAGATGTGCACCAAAAGCAAACATCTCTGCTCCCCCATCTCTGGAATGCATTAATTATGAGAGTGCACAGGCAGTCCCTTCTGCAATTCCCTCCTTTTGTTCCAGTCTTAGGACAAACCACATTGCCCATCAGAGATGGTAGGGGAAAGGAGGAAGGAATATCTTTTGCCACTGTCGCATTCCTCTAAGTCCCTTTCTACAAGAGTTGTGGGTGGGAAGAATATCAGATTATTTAGATAGAGTTATTCCAGCTGAAATTAAAAAAAATAAAAATGCCTGTCAACTTCACATTGACAGACCCCTGGTGTTTAGTTTTAAACAGCTGGATGACATGCTCTGCAATGTCACCTCTTTACCTCAGGAGTGATATTAAACATTAATTACAGTAGATACTGCTAACAAAAATTGCTCTCAAGATCTTTCACGTATCACCCATCTCCAAGTTTCCTTCCTTGCATCCAGGGAAATGGAACAATGGAGGGCAAGCTGCCTGACAACCAGCAGAACTCAGGCCTTTATTTCAAAGGGGAGGAATTGAGTTTCCAAAACAAACTTCCTTCAGTCCTTGTAAGAGCTTTTCTAGCCCAGCAGTGCTTGGCAGCTTGCACATCTGAGCTGATTGCAGCTGTGTCCCATCCTGATGAGTGTGAGGCATGTGTGATGCTTACTGCTGAGAAGGGATCTTGGCAGGACACCCTATGGTACCTGGGAATACACTGTAGTCACAGGTTTATTTTATTTAGGATTGAGGGGAGCTATGGTACACTGCTATGCATATATATGTAAATTAGGCAAGGTTTCTGACTAGAGAAAGCTCTGTCTGCCAGGAGGCAGCAAATGGTGAATCGTAAATGAGATATCTTTGAGATCCTGTCTTCCTTCAGATGTTCATCCTTTTCAGAGCTTGATAATCCAGATTCCAACAGAAAAATTAGAAGCCTTAAGATGAGGAGTATTGTAGCACCTGTAAATCAGTGGTGCAGCAGAGCTGCTGCCTCTTCCTTGTCGCATGCCACTTTCAAATAGGCGGCTGCCCATGGACAATTTCTGCCTTGTTGGCCCTGTGTTCCTGCTCCCTCTGGGTGGCTGAGGAGTTGCTTGTGGCCAATCTCCTCCTTCTGAAGTGGCTGCCTGGCCCTTGTCCAGCACACTGGCCACAATGCAGCCACCAGCAGGGTGACCTCCAGCAACCCAGATGTCTGTGTGGGGCCAAATCCCAGACAGCAGGATGAGGCCTCCTATTGAAAGTCATGTGGAGTTGATGGAGAAGATGTCTCTGGACCAGCCAGCTGCAGGTCTTCCTGTCCCACCAGAGTCTGGGTGCTCAGAAGTCCCTGGCAGCCTCTTCTCTCCAACAAGCGCTGGTGGGGAAGCTGCTGGAAGAGCTGCTCCACATCCACAGCCTTCTGTGCAGGGGGCTGCTTCACAACTCTTCCAGGTGTTGGGCTGAGAAAAAGGTTTTGATGTGTGCAGGTAAAGGTGCTGATGGAATTTGTAGTTGAAAACTGTGTGGGGAGGTGATGGCTGGCCTGTCCTGTTCATCAGCTGAGGAGACCCCCATGGCCAGTGACAGGTATGAGGAGGAACAGAGTGCTCTCACAGTCTGAGGCTTGGGATTCCAGAGACCTCAAAGTCAAGAAGACAACAGGGGAAGGGCTCTGGGTGGGTTTTGCTTCAGGTCTTCTTGACTTCCGAGAAGACACTGCTACACACACTTGTGCTTTGCGGACAAGCATTTGGAAGAGTGGAGCAGTAAAGCAGAACAGGTGGGATTACCAGGCAAAACCTGGATGGATGCATCCCCCTCTCTGCCAGACAAAGAAGAGAGAGACACGGGTGGAATCCAAAAAGCAGGTGTATGTCAGCTCCACAAAAACTGGAATAAGGTGTCTTGGGCAGTGAAGTACATTTCTGCTGTGCCTCCCAAAAGCAGCCCATCTCCTGGGATTATTGGATGCCTTGTGCCACTGCAATAATACATTGTAACCCCAAATTGGAGTTTTTTTATCAAATGTATTAGGAATGTATTTGTGGTGGTATTCACAGGAGTCCCAGGAAGAGGGAAGAGATGAGGATCTGACTCCGTGTTTCAGAAGGCTGATTTATTGTTTTTTGATATATATTATATTAAAAAGAAAATATATATTAACACTATACTAAAAGATTGGAAGAAAGGATTTCATCAGAAGGCTTGCAATCAATAGAAAAAGAATGGAATGATAATAAAATCTTGTGATGACCAGACAGTCTGAGCCAGCTGACTGTGATTGGCCATTAATTAGAAATAACCACACGTGACCAATCAAAGATCCACCTGTTGCATTCCACAGCAGCAGATAATCATTGTTTACATTTTGTTCCTGAGGCCTCTCAACTTCTCAGGAGAAAAAAATCCTAAGGAAAGGATTTTTCATGAAATGTGTCTGTGACATGTATTTAATCAAATTCCAAAACTTTCTCTTGAAAAACAGAGAAAGTGTAGCTGTCAACTTCAGAGGATTTTTGCTCAGCTTGTACTTTATCACAGCTTCATCCAGTCTGTTTTGGGGTGGATGGACTGTGCAAGATGTGAATGATGAAAACCAGCATCTTCTCTGCAGAACTGAGGTGATAATTTGGCAATTAGTCACTTACACCTCCAGCTGCCTTCTGCCAAGCATTAACGCCTGACTGCCTGGTTTAGGCACCTCCAGCTTTGCTTCCTAATGCCCCTGAGAATGTGGCAGAGTCCCTGGTAGGTGTGGAATGGCGGATAAGCCTTTCAGAGGAAAGGAGGTAAATTGAGCTCTCTTTGGTTAAAAACAAGAACTGAGTCCAGTCAATACTGGCTTTCCCTGCCTGTGGGGTGGACAGGTTTGCAGGGTCCTTCCAGGAAAATGAAAACCAAAGACAAAAAAAAGGCTGGAGGCCAGGGAAAATGAGATGGAATGTTGGCCAGGAAAGGAAAGGAGGAGGAGAGAAGAAGAAGGGGACAGAAAAAAATGCAGGAGGATCCAGCAGGTCAGGAAGCCCAGGTGCATCCCAGGCTCTGCTGCCCTGGCTCTGCCTTTCCCAATTCTAAGTGCTGCTCTAAGTCAGAATGACATGGAGCTGTGTCAGGGGGTCTTAGGTTGGATATCAGGGAACAGTTTTCCATCCAGGGATTGGTTGAGCACTGGAACATGCTCCCCTTGGTCATTGCACCAAGCCTGACAGGGTTCAAGAAGTATTTGGACATGGTGGGATTCGTGAAGCTGTGTTGGTGCAGGGCCAGGAGCTGACTTCAAGATCCTGATGTGTCCCTTCCCAGTCAGGACATTTTATGATTATAATTTGGCCCAAATTGCTGGCAAGGGCCAGTGAAGAGCAGCACTGTGCAGGGTGTGGAAAGAACTCCATGGCCCCCTCACCCTCCACCCTGAGTCCTGCTCTGTAGCACGAGGGCTCTGTGCACCTCTGCACATGCACAGGGATCTGTGCACATCACCCACAGGGGGAAGGTGCCAAAGCCATCCCATCATCAAAGCCAACATTAATTCTCTTCTGGACTGTAGTGACCCTGCCCTGGGTGAGCTCCTGACCTTGAAGAACACTGCCCTGGTGAGGAGACAAGTCAGAACTCTAAACTTCAGCAGAAAGAATTTCCAGATGTACAAAGAATTAGTGGGTGAGATCTGCGGGGATGTCCTCAGGAACAAAGGACCTGATCAGGGCTGGGAACCTTTTAAGGAGACTTTTCTTGGAGCAGAAGACCTTTCCAAGCTGATGTGTGTCACAGACACATTTTATGAAAAATCCTTTCCTTAGGATTTTTTTCTCCTGAGAAGCTGAGAGGCCTCAGGAACAAAATGTAAACAATGATTATCTGCTGCAACAGGTGGATCTGTGATTGGTCTCATGTGGTTGTTTCTAAACAGTCCAGCTGTCTGGACTGTCTGGTCAGTCACAAGATTTTGTTATAATTCTTTTTCTATTCTTGCTAGCCTTCTGATCAAATCCTTTCTTCTATTCTTTTAGTATAGTTTTAATATTATATATATCATAAAACAATAAATCAAGCCTTCTGAAACATGGAGTCAGATCCTCGTCTCTTCCCTCATCCTAAGACCCCTGTGAACACCATCACAGATGTGTAAAGAACCAAGTAAGGTGGACAGTAAAGTTCCACAGAAAAGCAGGGATCTTCTCCTGAAACTGAGGAGTAAGAGGAAGACACTGCCAGTGGGAGCAGGAACTGGTGACCTGGGGAGAGTACAGGGATACTGTTTGGATATGTAAGGATGGCATCAGGAAGGCCAAAGCAAAAATGAAACAAGGCTTGGAAATAGGTGTGAAGAGTAACCAGAAGGGATTCTATAAGGAAATCAGTTGGGAAGAAAGACCAAGTGGAGTGGTGGCCGGTGGAAAGTAAAACGCCTAGGCTAGATAAGTGTCCAGCCAACCTCCAGCCAGTCAGGCACTTCCCCAACCCGAAGTCAGGGCCTTGTGCCTAAGGCGATGTCAAGCCTTGCGGACTTGTGGCCGCAGTAGAGAGCTCCGAAGTCGCAGGATGAAATGAAGAGGCGACCCTCAGTTTCTTCGGGGGGTGGTTTTATTGGTAGGGAAACGTGCAGGTTCAGGTAGAAGGAGCTGAGGGCCCCAAGGCAAGGAAAGCCTCGGGTTTTACAGAGGGTGGGAGGGGTGAAAGATAGCAAATCAGAGAAGGATACATTAAGGATTGGCATGATCGGAGAACCCATCAAACACAGTTGCGGGAGGGACCCTGGCCCCTAACCCAATCACTCGACACCCTGGCCCGAACTCTCTAGGAAAAGAGGCAGGAGTGCCGAGTGACAGGCAGGCTGCCAGGGGTGGGGAACAAGAAAGATAACCAAGACAACTGGGGAGGGGTTTGGGGATTGACACAAACTGGTAACAGGGCAGGACCTTCTGAGAGAACAATGGGGGGAAAACTGAACAAACATAAAACACACCACAACAACCAAGGACAGTGTACCACTGATAAAGGAGAAAAGAGAACTGGCGACAGCAGTTGGAGAAGGCTGAGGTACTCAGTGAGTTCTTTGCCTCAGACTTCAGTGGCCATCAGGCTTCCTGTGCCTCTTGATTCCCTGAGGCTGCAGGTGGGGGTTGGTGAAGTGAAATCACCCCCATTGTCAGTCAAGAGCAGGTTCAAGAGCACCTGATGGAACTGAATGGGCACAAGCCTATGGGACCTGGTGAGAGGCACCCCAGTGCCCTGAGGGATGACATTGTTGCCAGGACACCCTTGTGATGTTTGTAAAGTCACAGCAGCCAGGCAAAGCCCCCAGTGACTCTGAAAATGAAAGCATCATTCCTATTTTTAAATAGGGGATAAAGGGACTACTGAGCAATCTGTGGCCTTCTGTGGTGACTGCAAGGACTGACAAGGAAAGGCTGATTAGTGTCATCCACCTAAACTTGTGTAAGGCCTTTGATGCCACGGTCCCACATGGCATCCTCATGTCCAGATCAGGGAGACATGCAGCTGAAGGTGGACTGCTGCATGGATAAGGAATTGGCTGGGTGGGTGCAGACAGAGTTGTGGTCCATGGCCCAGTGTCCAGGTGGAGGCTGATGACAAGTGGTATTCTTCTTGTGTCTTTGGGCTGGTGCTCTTTGCTGGTTTTGTTGATGACACAGGCAGAGGGATTTAGTGGACCCTCAGCACTTTTGCAAATGACACTGAGCTGGTTGGTGCAGTTGGCACAACAGAAGGATGGGATCCATCCAGGGGCACCTGGACAGACTTGAGTAGTGGGCCCATGATAACCTCATGAGGTTCAACAAGGCCAGGTGCTGGTGCTGCACCTGGGTCAGGGCAATCCCAGGCATTAGCACAGACCTGGGGAAGAAATACTTGGAAGCAGCCCTGTTGAGAGCAGTGGATGCTGGTGTATGCTGGTGGATGAAAAGCTGGACATGAATAACCCATTTCCAAAGACAGATTTATTTATGTCCTTTTATGAGAAGCCATTTCTCACACCACATAGAGAATTATGATGCAGCAAAGGCTCTAAGCAGCCAAACCCCTCTGAGAGAGTAAGTAATATGAGGGTGCAGGATAATTCAAGAGGCTACAAAGCTAAAATTAATTTCTCAAAGCGGTAAGGAGAACATTCAGATCCATGAAGAACATTCAGTTATCACACACTGTTCATCCTCTCTTGCTGCCCTGATAATTGCTTCTGTATTTACAGGTATGCAGACAGAAAAGGAGGCTGAAAACTAGAAATAGCAGTGAAATCATAACAGAAAGGAAAACAAGAAAATAGAAATCAGGAAAGTAAGTTAAAAAGGAAATAGCTGATTGAAAGACTAACTCTGAAATGGCTCTGTGAATTTTAGTAAATTGAAGGGTTTTCTTAAATTTTTTTTAAAATATGAAATGGTCATCCAATGGCAGATGTTTAACACCTGTATAATGAAAGTTAATTAACAATGTGCTGTGCCTTCTGATTCTGGAGAAGTGCAGTTATATAAAAATTAAAATTTATTTATGATTCATTGAGACCTTACAACTTTGATAAGCGAATAACTGTTTGTATGTGCACAGAAGCTATTGCAGATATTTGTATATCTAGGTATAATATTTGTTTTTTAATTTTCTCTTCTTAAAATGGATTTTAACTCATATGTTTTTTTGACATTATTAGATAATTTTCATTTTACATGCTAATGAGTATTATCTGCAATCATATTGAATGTTTTTCATAAGAAAAAGTGGGAACATGATTTTAGTAAGAAAAACTAGAAACTTATACATTACTGAAAAAACACATGGGCAGACAAAGGGCTGAGCTTCTGCAGAAGCAGTTTGAGGCACTTCTCTCAGTAAAATTCACATGCTAGGTCACTCAGTCCTAAGTGCTTATCCGGGGGATCATAAGGTGGATTAAAATAGCTCAGAACTTTCAAAACATGCTGAGTGTATGCCATCCCTTCTGTGGCCCCAAATATCAGCAGCATCTCTGGCCAGGGTGGTACTTTTCTGAGTGCCTTGTGGGAGAGGACACCCAGGCAGCTGAGATTTGTTGAAGGGGTTTGGTCAGTATGTGTGGCCAGGCGGTGCCAGAAGGGATCTTTCTCTGCTCTCTAGTGAGGAACATGTGCCACCCCCCATTCTCTGTGGTTCTTGCTCCATGCCCATCTCTCCCTGCAGCTCAGCCTCAGCTCAAGTCCAAGTCAAGCCTTGGGGAGGGGAAGCAGGGCAGGCTGGGGTGGGGGTGTTGCTCCTCTGCATGACACAATGGTCTGTGTCCACTTTGTGGCAATGGCTTCCTTTTCTAAAACAGCAGAAACAATGTATGAGCTACTTTTTTTTGATCCTTTGACCTTCATTCTAATGCAATTTGTAACACTTATTTATTTAACTATGACATAAGAACTGCAGGGTGCAGCTCTGCACCTACAGTTGGGGATTTTCACCAGTGTGAGTGGGGTTTCTTCTTGTGCAGCATTTTGTTCTTTCAGCCCTTCACCTCTGAGGCAGATTGGGGTATTTAGGCACCATATGGGTCCTCTCCTCATGGCACCAGACCTTTCTTTCACTGCCAAAATCAACCAGCTTGTTGAGCAATTCTTGTGTTGCACATCTGCAGCAGCAGACCTGGCTCTTGTTTTCCACATCTCACCCTCACAGGGTTTGCAGCTTCCCACAGCTTGCCAGTTGTTTGCAGAGCTCTGTTCTGCCACAAAGTGGATCTAGTTTTAAATTTAAAAGTGACATACATTTTTCTTTCTCCTTCTCCTCTCATCAGATAATTTCCCACTCCCTTCATATTTTTGTTTCAATATTGCACTGATGCCTTTTCCTTCATCCTAAAATTAAGAGCCAGACATGGTTAAGGGATAAAGGGTTTTTACTTTGGTATTGAGTAAGGATTTTTATGGTGTGACACTTCTCCAAGGTGGAATACTCAGAAATGCACACACACAAACACAGTAGATTTCATATACAATTTTATAGACCTTGTAAATTAGCACGTCTAACAAAGATGCTCTAATGAGAGATTTGAATGATTAGCATGATATCTCCTTATCTAGAAGTATTCCCCCTTAGATGGGCCTAATCTTAGTTTACAGGGTACATTCTAGAGGGAACCTTGGTTTCTCAAGATAGCGTAGTATTTCTGGCCTCCAACTGCAAGGCCTTTGGCATGTTTGGTCTTGTGGCCTAACAGAATACCAGGACTATGCTAAGTTATCAGACTTAAGGAATTGCATGCATGCATGCTAAGGGCACTGAGAATACATAAAAGGTATATAAAAGAAAAGGCAAAAAAATTGTCATGGCATCAGCACTGGTACTCCTTGATCTGATTCACTAAGACTAGAAAAAAAAGTAGTAAAAATAGATGTTAATAAATAGGCAGGATTAGATAAAATTTTTGAGAACAGTCATAAGAAACTGTGGCAAGAAAAAAAAATTGTGTCTGGGGTCTGTGTATCATAGGAGGCCACCAATATACTCAAAAACTCTTTTAGCAAGGCCTGGATAATGCCAAAGCAGTGGGAGCAGCTACCACTCCTGGTGAGATGACACAGTCTGTGAGAAAATGAGATCCAGGGATGAACACAGTCTCTTTGGAAGCTGTTGGAGAGGCTCAAGTGAAGTTCAGCATCACTGGTTTCTGGAGGAAGGGTGGTAAGTATGCCAATAAAAGGGGTTGTGTGGGCATAATAATCCTCTTGCACTTTCAAAAAGCCTTTGAGAAGCTTTTTGCAAAGCTTATTAAACTTTGTAAAGAAAATAAGTTGCCACAAGATTGGATGAGAGGCTGGTTTTGGAGTTGAAAGCTGGTATAAGAGGAAGTGAGGGACAGGGCTTAGTGGTCACTCTCCAGGAAGGAGGAGATTTATGCAGTCAGGGGATAATTCAGTTTGGAAGGGACCTCTGAAGGTCATCTAACCCAGCCTCCTCTCCAAGCATGTCTAAAGGGCTAAGGTTATGCAAGGACTTCTTCAGTGAAACTTGAATATGCCCAAGGATAGCCATTCCACAATTTGACACAAAAGCCTTAGAATTTGAGCTGTTTTTTTCTTGATGCCTCTATCTGTGACCTCTAGAAAGCAGTGAAACCTGTTGGGCTGGAGAGGCACTCACTGGCTCTGGTTGTGGTCACTTGGTGGTCCTTAAAGTCCTTTTTGACTCAAACCATTCTATGCTTTATGTGTGGAAATTAAAAACAAATTTGCTTCCAAGTTTGAACACTACATGAATTTTGTGGCATGGTTATGCCAAGAAATACTACTGATCCTGAACACTGTCCCTCCATTCATTTCCCACGCACACACACACAGATGGCTTTTGTTGGTGGGGATGTGGCAGATGGCTACAGCAACAGAAAACCTCCTTTTTGTTTTCTGGTGCTTTGTCTGAGCAGGGGCTCTTGGCTGGCAGATCATGCAGCAGCCGCGTCTACTCTGGACAAGCACCAGTAAAACCAAGACTATGGCAGGATTTTTTTTGCAGTATTATCAGGAAACAAGCCTCTACAGCAAAGTGTATTAGTGTTATTTGGAATTATATTCTATCTTTGAAAAAAAAAAAAAAAAACAAAACCTGGAAATTTACGTCTCCTAGAGCAACATGCTTTGTCTTGCACCTGAAGCTGACTACACCAGCATAAGCAGCAGCAGCATTGTGCAGTGTGCAGATTCAGCTAATAAGCAGGTTTGGCAATGACTTTGACTTCAAGTACATTAAATCTCCTCACTGTCCTGAAAATACAAGCTGGATAATTCTGCATGGATCAATGTGCATAAGGCTACAGCTTCCACTAGGGAAAAAAAATCCTCCTCCTTGACTTGCCTGCACTTACCTCCTTTCACTGGCAAATATCATTCCCCTTTGTCATTAACGACTGTGTATTTGTTTTCAGTACTTTATCTGAGGTACTCACCGGAAAGCTACAACGGAAATGGTTTTGGAAAAAAAAAAAGTTCCAGCACAAACTACACAAGACTGAATATGTGATTGTTTCCTGGACCTTGTCAAAGACTCCCTTCTCTGCAGTTTAGTCTTTGTTTGTCAGTAGCAGTGGCAAATGCTTGGTGGATGAAAAGTTTGCTGATCACAGGAGGGTATTCAACTTTCCGATTGCCAAACAGAGAACAGTCAGGCAATCCTCTGTAATCCTCTAGGTTAAACAATCCTTTGCAGCTTTTCCTTGCAGTGCCCGTGTAACTTGTAGAATGCATCTAGGGTAGGGGTGCCAAGCAGCTTCCCTGTTTGTGGTATTTATTATCCTGCCAAAGTGAACTCGTTTCCTTTCCTGTTTAGTTTGTTTGTTTATTTGAAATGCATTGCACAATCCCTGAGCAATGCAAGCAAAAATGGGGTTATGGACCTACTTTGACAGGAGAACAGACAGCATTCTCCAATTTTAATGCTTGCTTTTTAAACACTGTTTATAGTCATCTGATTGCTGGAAAGCCGTTATTAAGACAGTGTATTTCAGTGTATTTTAGTATGTAAGTTTTAAGTGCTTTTCATCAGTTGAGATGAATCTCACATCCACCATGCACACTTTGCCGAAACTGACACTTCTGTCAGTCCCAAGCTTCCCAGGTGGTTGAAGGAAGAAGTGGGAGGAAAACAAAAATGTTTTCTGTGACCCTCCATCTCAATTGGTACTGCTACCCTTGTCCCCCCTGGGCAGCACTAGGTCTGCAGCAATGAGTAAGCTATGCTAATTGGAGTTTGGGTTAATTGGGTCACTCCTCATTAGTACTGCCTTATTTAGCAGTCCGGTTTTTCTTGGTATTACAACTACCTATTTGAGTGTCCACATCTGCATGCATGGGTGTGTTGTATTTATAATATATGTGCATGTATTTTAAACATATGCTTATATAAACCTGTGTATGTGTATTTTTGTCTATATATGCATGTGCATATTTATTTATGTATATAGCTATTTATGCTTTTAGCTATACCAGATCAGGCTCGTTAGTGATAAGAAATTTTCTCCCAAAGGCTTCCTCATTTTCAATGGGTAGATTGCTACAAGCGCAAATTTAAGAATTCCAAGGGATCTTCAGTGACCTTTAAAATGTACACAAATAGTCATGGTTGCAAAATGTTGGCTGCTCTGCCGACTCACAACATCATGTACCCAGAGTTTGGAGACCACTGAGGCTTTGGATGTGGACAGTGATACATCACAGTCAGAGGATCATCTGGGGAAAAAATAGTGGTTTCCTGTGATACTTTTTAAAACTTATCTATGAAACATGCATTCCAACTTTTTTTCCAGGATGAAACAAAACAACAACCTCCACTTGTCATTTGTCTTTTAGTTTTCTAGAGCAAAGCTAGATTAAAAAGCAGAAGCTAGGATGGGATAAAATGTGTGAAAACAAAGAGGCTGGGAAATTATCTGTTATTTTGTTCTTTGGGATTTTTCTTTTTCAGTAGGCCCTGTAGAATTTATAATAAAAATAAAAATAATAAATTAGCATTCATTAGCAGATAATAATACTTACGATTTATTAAAATGGTCTTGCTATTCAGTACTATATCTGTATAAAACTTTGTTAGTGCCATCAAATGGAATCTCCTAAATTTGCAAATAGTGGAATAGTACTTTTCTTAAAGTATGGATTGTTGCAAGCAAAGCTCTATCATTATTCTGTTGATAATTGTATCAAGTCCTGTTTTGAGTGAGTTCTTGCCCGTGGGATTAACAGCAGCATGTGTTCACATAACACAGAGTATTGTGTACCATCTAGTATGCCTAAAACATGTTTACTCTGTTTTGTTTATTTTTTTTATTTTAGTGTACACAGTGGTATGTGACAGCTGATGGTATTTTTATAATGGATCTGGTATATTTCCTGTGTAACCTCTGCAGGTGACCCTGCATTGGGGGTTGGGCTAGGTAATCTTCAGAGGTGCCTTGCAACCTAAACCGTTTTGCGATTTGTGTTTGTTTTACTATAATGCAAGAGCATCCTTTTGGAAAATTGTACTTTAAACATCACATGAGCGCTAAAAAGCCCACGCGGCATTTAAGAAATTGTATTACTAATCAGCCTACTATTGAAAAGATAGATATTATTTAAATAGTAATAGTTTATTTTAAAAGTTTAAATACTTTAAAAGAGGAAGTTTACACTGCTCTCTACACCAGGTCCCTCCCCTGGTGCAGACAAGCGGTGCGGGGATGTTGGTCCTGTTCGTGCGGGGTGGGACCGGGCTCTGCCCCAGCGCCTCTCCCTGCCCTGCTCACCTGGTGCACCTGCCCTCGGCGCGTCATCTCGCTCTGCCCATCGCCTCTCGGGGCTGGCTGACGTCAGGGTGCGGTGCCCGGGACCGCCCGGCCGGACGCGGCTTCGCCTTCCCCGACGGCGCCGGGGCAGCGCTGCCACCGCAGCCCGGGCTGCTGCTCATCCCGCTGCTGCTGCAGATCCCCATCCTGCCGCAGAACGCGATCCTGCTGCAAATCCCCATCCTGCCGCAGAACGCGATCCTGCTGCAGATCCCCATCCTGCTGCAGGTCCCCATACTGCTGCTGCCGCTGCTGCTGTTGTTGCGGCTGCTGCCGATCCCGCTGCTGCTGCTGCAGCTCCATCGCCGGAGCTGCCCAGCTTGGCCACAGCCGGGGCAATGCGGCAGGAGTCCCCGAGGTCACCGCAGCGAGACTGAGCCTGGACACCGAGGAATAACAAACCAAAACCGCTGGGGATTTGCAATGCAGGCAGCCTTTCCAGATTTCTTTTCCGCTTTGCTCCCACCCTGCTGTTGGATTTGAGATCATGTACGTGGTTTTGCTGTTGATTACAGGAGGGTGTTAAAATCTAGGGAGGGAAGAGGATTCAGAGGGATTAATATGTTAGTTTTGATTTAAGGGGATTTTATTTTCTTTCCCCTTATCCCTGCCCTTCATCTTTGTTAACACAACTTCATCTTTATTATTTTTATTTTAGGTCGGTTAATATTGTAGCTTTTGGGAATGAAAGAGATGGTTTTTCTGAGGACAATCAGCAGCCCAGCCTGATCTGGAGCTATCTCGGGAGAAGTGCTCTCATTTCCCAGATCGACAGCAGCTTGTCTGCCAGTCATGTTGGAAACCCAGTTTTTACTGAGTATCAAGCCTGCGTATTTGGAAATGTCAGACTGGTGGTACACGACTGTCCTGTCTGGGTAAGAGATCCATCTCAGTCTTTTTAACTACAATTAACAGTGTGAGCTCTTTTACTAAATGAAACCATATCCTAATTTTAAATGGTTTTCATTGTTGTGGGATTTTATTTTTAGTTTTATTACTGCATTTAGTAAAAAAAAACTTTAAAAATGTAACCAGGCAAATGCTGGGAAACCTCAAAGGTGCTATAAAAAGGTTCTTATAAACCAGCCTCTGCTCAGCCTTCCCTGGAAGAAGGTGTTTTTTTCAACTGTGTTGCTTAATGGAAATTTTGTGAAAGACAATCCAGAAGTAAACAAGAATGCCTTGTGACACTGCACCATAAGTTCTCTCTCCAAATATTTGCCAACAATAAAATGAAATTTTATTTTTCTGTAAATAAAGGCAGTAAGTTTTCAAGCTGTGAAAAATGACAGATTAAAAGATCTGATTGTTTATATATTATATGAATTATATATTATTCATATAATAATAAAGGGAATAATTTTACTACTCCTACAAAGAATAATCATGTCTTAACATTATTGCCTTTATCTGATGGTAAATAACAAAGACTTTGGCACTGTTGCTAGTTGTCAGCACTTTTGTTAGTAAGTGAGAAAACTTAGTTTGGAGTGTGAGCAGAGCAATGATTATGTAAGAAATGATACTGATAATCTAAATTAAAACATATTTACTACTTAGCAGCCTTAAAAAAAACCCTCAGTTTACCAGCTTTTAGAAATTAAAATAATAATCAGTTTCAGCTCCATAATTCTATCCTTTGGGTGATTTTTGTACTCCTGTAAGGGAAACCTTTTGTAGAATCTGCAGGAGCCATAACAGCTCCATGAAATTATCAGAAGCCAACAATCTTAAAATGAAACTATCCAGTTTAGCTGTCCTTCTGCTCTTTATTTCTTTTTGCCAGCTGCTTACAGACACCAGTTCAGATGGACTGGGGGATCCTGTTTCTAATCTGTGAAGCTGCATGTGACCTGCATGTGCAGTTTGCTGGAGTCACCGGAGCGCAGCAAAGAGTAAAAATCTCCTGAATATAAATGAAGTCTGTAGGGCTTCAAAGGCTGTTTCAGAGGGATGGAGGGAGGTGGGTAAGGGAGGTGGGAATGTAAGTGAGGGTAGCTGAAGAAGGGGAAGCAAGGACATAGATTAGAGACAGAGTTGATGTGTTTTTACATTGCTTTAATTGCATTTGGCCTTCTGCTGAACAAGGTTCTTCAGTTCTGGACACCTTTTAATTTCTGCCCTTCAAAAGTTAGCTTGTTATTGTCCGAGTCACTGCATTTCTGCAGCCTCAGGTTTTTTTTCCTCTATCAGTTAAAGGAGGCAGGAAATATATTACTGAGAATGTCGAGGACAAATTAGCATTTTTCTCTTTATGGAAGACATGTCAGATAGCAGGACTGGACTCTGCATGACTCTTTATGTGTCATGCATAAAGCAGTGTCCTTGCTAGGGTAAGGCAGAGCAGGACCATTTCCCACAGCCTGAGTGCTTGAGGTTTACTATATCACAGTAGATCCTTTAGAGCTGCTCCTCTGCTAGCCTGGGGAAACAGCACAGAACAACTCAAGATGTTGACAGATGTTGCCAGATGTTGCCTCCGGCCATATTCTGCATGGAAAAGGATCCCTGTTTCATCTTATCAAAACATAGAGGAGGTGGTATGGTGGGCCTTGCAGTATTTCAGCCTCTACTGTCTGAGCCCAAGAGAGATTTGCATTTTACCTGGGATTTGTACTAGATTAAACCCAAATGATTAAGGCCAGAGAGTCCTAGACATGAGCTTGGCAACTGAGTACACTGATAGCTGTGAGTCTCAAAACTCAAAGGTGCCCATCTGTTCTTTGTCTTCCACAGCCATGAGTCTGGAAAAGCAGTGTTGATGTGATTTTACTGAGTAGAGTTCCGCAGTGAGTGGGGGGATCCTTTTGCGTGGCAGATTGTGGTGCAGTTTAATTTTCTTGAGTTTGAGTCTGCTGCTGCACCTGTCTGCCAGCCCAGGATACTGCTCAGCCTTTTGAGTCTGCAGGAGGGTCAGCAGGTCAGGTGTCTTTAGGAAATTACAAAGATAAATTCATGTTTGCCAACATGCAAACGAGCATCTTGTGAGGACCTCTCCTTCCCGTGGCAATTGCAGGGTGCAGGAGGGAAATGCTGACTCTGGGGACCTTATAATATCACAGGGCTGTAGAGACAGCAGTGGAACATCACGCTTTTCAAAATCTGGGGCAAAATGTCAGAGTTTCCAAGGCCAATTTGCTCTATGTGTGCTGCTCTTGGGGTGTACCACTGTGGCTTGCTCTGGCAGAGCTGTGTGCAGGGGGCAGGAGCACAGAGCACTAACATCGTTGTCAACCATGTGGCCTCAAAATGTTTTCTCAAAAAATGCAAACCTAGGGTAAGAGAAGACATAAAGAACTAGGGAAAACACATGTGTGCTAACATCCCTCCTGAGTATTGTGGTATTAACAGCTGATCAGTTGCTAATGTATCCTTAAGCTGCTCAATAATAAGGCATATTGAGTAAGAATGACCCAGTTTTTCTAATTTTGCAGGGTTGAACCTCTGTATGGAGCTAATAACTCAAAAGGAGAAATTCGTAAGATGAGTTTTAAGACTTGCTTTGGAAAACACTGCTTTAATTAACAATCTGTGTTAGATTTGACAGTCTTCAGGACTGAGATGCCATTTTATTGACTTAGCTGTATTTTGCAATTCCACTTTACTCTGAATTTGTTTATGCTTCTCCAGGAAAAATGCAGGCAGAATTTTTAATATCTAATTAAGTGAATCTTCCTCAAGTCCAGAATTAAGCATAGTATAGAAGCTGTAATTCATGTTTCGATTCACTTAATTGTAGTGCTGGAAAATAAATGGCAAAATAAAAAGTCCTTTGTAATGTTCCCTACCTGAATTAACTCTTGTCCTCCCCTCTCTTACCTGGAGCAAAACCCTAAGGATATGAGAGTGTTTCTGTCCTGGCCTGGGGGTCTTGCTGCCGTTTTTAACTTTTTCTACTAAGACCCACCTGGTTTTGTTTGTTTGTTTTGTTTGTTTGTTTTGTTTTTGTGGCTTTTGTTTGGTTTATTTGGGTTTATTTTCCCCATGAGAAACAATACCCCCCAGAATTTTTCTAGCTTTCCCCTATTTTATAAAAACTGCTGAGCTTCTAGAGAATTACTGACATCATCAAGTATAGAAATGTTTACAAAAGGGGAATACAGAGCAGCTGGGTTTTGGAGATTGTCTTGTGCTGGGTTAGATACTTGAAGAGGGCTGGATGCTCTGCTGTGTCTGCTCAGAGCCTTGAACAGAGCTGCAGATCTCCATGGGGCTCACTAGTACAAATATATTAACTACAATTTTGAGAAGGTACTCTGTGAATTTTTTCCTAATTCTCCCTTACAACAATCTCTTTCCCTGAACCTTTTTATAGTTTTTCCTTGCTATTTACTGTACCAACAGGAGTAGTCCCTCAAACACTGTGAGTTTTCTTATGCCAGCGATATCATCCATTGTGTAGTTCTCTGTCTTTTTTCTCTTTATCCTAATTCTTGTGCTCCTTAATGTGCCTTGTGCTCCTTATGCTGGCCAGCCTTTACCATGTCTAAAGGTACAGGAATCTGCACCATGTTCAGATTTTATGTACTATTTTTAGAAATCTAGGCATATGACTGCTTCAGTAAAAAATGACAGCTAGTAAGTAATTTTCATTTTTCAGTATGTCATCCCTTCTCATTTTTAAGCTTGAATGCCTGAAGTGGCAATTTACAACAAATTATCAAATCCTGGTAAAAAGTACTATTAAATTCATTTATGAGAGGATGACAGAGGCTAATATGAGCTTCCTTTGTTTTGTGAGGGGGATATTTAGGGGGATTTCTGGAGGAGATACTTCCATCTGTGCTGCAGATTACTTATCTGAGTAAGTTCAGGGGACAAGTAAGGTATGGAGAGTATACCCATAAAATTTGTCCTGCTGCAGACCTGATAAGAAACTGCAGAGGAATCTTAAAATAAAAACAGAGAAGGCTCTGGTATGTGGTGTGGAGGACATCAGTGTGAAGGTTTTGGTAATGGAGATTGGGTCTGTAGATGGATCATAGAGAGGGACAACTCTCCAGGTGTTCCCAACGCAGTTCTCTTGGATCCTGGGGTAACCCCAGGGGAGCATTCCTACAGCGTGTCCAGGCGCCCTTTTCCCCACAAAGAGTGGTTGGCTTTGCTGCTGCCTCAGATCCAGGGCTGGGGTGGTTGGACATGGGCACACTTATGAGCAGCTTTCAGAAAGAGCGTGGGCATTGCAAGGGCGCTTGTGTGAGGAATTTCACTGCCGTTCAGAAAGGCATTCATAAATCATTTTTAACAAAGCAGGTATTGTTGTCTTCTGGGATCATGTGATTTTGTAGGAAAATCATATCTTCAATGCCTCTGAAAGCTTTATTTTCAATACTGAGTGTTGAGAAGTATAATTTACTAATGGCAAGAATATGTTATGAGACACTTAGAATGAAGGCATGGAAGGAAAAAAATGAAGATTTTTCCTGTATGTCCTGAGTGGAACAGCAACAGAAGTATAATTAAAATTATAATTAATAAGGTCATAATAAAATAATCTTAGCTGTACAGATACTTCTTCCTTTTGCCAATGTCTGATTTGTGAAATGGAGCAGGAAGCATGATAAGGAGTAGGTGTTACAAAAATTTCACAGATGCAACCTGAAATTAAGGTTATTCCTGAATCTGAATAGCTGTTCATCATCTGATGACTTTCCCCCTGTCATTTTTGCATGAAAGGTTCTCTAAAAGCAATAATGAAGGAGGCTCTAGATGCTCTGTCTTAGGGATATCTTGTGCAAATAACCCATTGTCAGAGATATTTTTGGAGGATTTTCTTGGCAGATGAGATTTATATCAGTTCTACTCTGGAGTGAGTGAAAAACAATATACCAACATACCACAAAACCAATATACAAACAATATAAAAATATACATATTAAATTCCATAGAAAGATTTCATAAGCATTTCTTATTACTCATGCTTAAAGCTGTGCAGTTACAGTGTATTTGTGCACCTGTGCTCTACTCTTTGCTTATGATACCACACATTTTCTTCAGTCTTGTAGAGATGGGCAGATGCAAATCTGGGCTGATCTTGAAAATGGTCAGCTGGAAGGACATTGCAAAGGAACAGATGTGCTTTCTGTCTGCCAACAGAACAGAACAGATAAATATCCCATGTTATTTTTGGGGGTTATGTTGTATTTTTCCTTTAAACCTTTGTTGTGTTAAATGTGTGGAACTCTGTTAAAAATTCTTCGTTGAGATCTTCACCAATTAAAGTGCAATAAAGCTTTCCCTCGAAAATTCTCTATTTTTGCCTGCTTGTGTGATCAAGTTCTCCAAATGTCCATCTAGATGGCTGTCTCTAAGCACTGAGGCTGGTAGTCCTACTTCTAGAGGTGCTAAATGTGCATTTCTGTGTAAATTTTATATCATTAACCAGGCCTAAATGATTGTATTAAGTGCTAATTGACACTGTCCTTACCCTGGGATTATAACAGTCTCTAACTGAGTTGTCTCAAAAAAAAAAAAAATCAAGGGCAGTGCACTTGACCTCCTCTGTTGTCAACATGGTTAATCATGTGAGAGCTATTCCTGATAAATTTTTAATTCTGGTTTACTTATTGCAGAACAAAAGCTTCTATTACAGACATCAATGGGAATGTCTACTGTAATTTATTTCCTGACTTATTTCTTTGTAAGGTCAAGACCTGAATTTGGAATGATGTGAACTGACACTTTAGGCAAATACTCGCTGACTTTGACTTCCATCAAGTTCATGCTACTACTTCTTGTAGTTAAGAGCATTGCAGCTACCTCACCAGATTTCAAACAATGACCCTTTTGAAGTGATCAAAAATAGTTATGTTGACAATGCAAGCCACGCCACTTGTTGTTGATATTACTAACCTTTTATGTAGTTCACTCCCATTTGTAATGCTCTTATTTCTGTACTTGCTTTACAAAACTTAAATTGCTTCCCACTACCCAAACTTTGAGTTCTGCCCTTTTGTCACTTTTTCTCTGTTCAATTATTTCTATTTTCACACTGTCTTTATTTCATTACTGCTAATTTCCTTTTTTTTTTTCCCCTCAATATCCCAAGTTTTTCTAGTTTTGCCTCACATGCTATGCAGGGCTGCCATAGAATCGCAGAATCCCTGAATGATTTGGGTTGGAAGGAACCTTAGAGATCATCTCGTTCCAGCTACCCCTGCCGTGCTGGGAAGAGGTTGCATAAACATGTGCTTGAGATTTGTTAGTTCTTTCCTGCCATGCACAGGAACACCTTCCACTAGACCAGATTGCTTAGAGCCTCATCCAGCTTGGCCCTGAGCACTGCCAGGCATGGGGCACCCACAGCGTCTTGCGGCAAACTGTGCCAGGGCCTCACCATCCTCTGTATAAAAAATGTCTGCCTTATGTCCAACCTAAATCTACCCTCTTTTAGTTTAAAACCATTGTCCCCTGTCCTATCACAACGGGCCCTGCCAAAAGGTTTGTCCCCATCTTTCTTACAAGCCCCCTTCAAGTATAAAAAGGGCAAAAAGCCTCTCTGTTTTAAGTAGAGTATTTTGGGTCATTGGAGGTTTTATTCGGTTCTCTGGACCACTTCCAGACTTCTCTCAAGAATTTTCAATTTAGCATACATTCAAAGCCAAGGCTCCCCTGGTATTTATGAGCTACCTCCAGGTGAAGCAGAAAATGTGGAATCACAGTTCCATGACAGGTACGCAAGTAATAACCATATGTTGCATGGGGATACATCACAGCTGTAAATGTAAGAATATCAAACAATTCTACAGGTTAAGTCCTCAGCACAGAACAATGAAAATTTGAATGTGAAATTGAAAAAGAAAGTTTAGGTATGTGATTTAAGTCCTCATCCTGAAGACATTAACACCTGGTGAAGCTATGTAGAAGCTCTAGTTACAAAAGCCACACTGAATTATTAAGTTTGTATTTAAAAGTTCATAGGTACATAGGATAATTCTGTGTAACCCTTTCTCTAAAATGTTGTGATTAATAATGTTTTTGTATGTGTTGCTGAAAACATCTACCACTGAAGGTGCTTTTATTTCCTAAAGGAAACAATTTTAAAGTTAAGTAATTAAAGCAGCAAAGATTCTTCCTGAAAAGAGTATTCCCTGATAAACCCTATTTTTAATTCTTCTGACAGAATTCCTGAATTAATGGAAAATATTTATGATTTATTATAACAAACAACTTGCTCTCCAAACAAGGAAATTACAAAGCAGGAAGTCTGCTCATTGTTGCATGTCTTCAAATAAGATCTAATCAGACAGAAACAATTATGTGGAGTTTTGCATTAAGAATATAGAATATTTAATCTTTTTCTTTAAGTCAGTAAATTCTTGATTGGTGTTTTTTTCTTTTTAGGATATATTTGACAGTGACTGGTACACCTCCTGCAGGCTCATTGGAGGAGCTGATATTATTGTGATTAAATACTCTGTCAATGACAAGACTTCATTTCAAGAACTAAAGGACAGCTATGTGCCAATGGTAAAAAAAGCACTAAATCACTGCTCAGTTCCAGTAATAATTTCTGCTATTGGTGCAAGAAAAAACGGTATGTATCCAGCCTCCTGTAACAACAGATGAAATCTCATTTGGAAGTTGGGTATAATGTAATTTCAGTAGAAGCTGGTTGTTTTTCCAAGCTGCTAACAGAAACAATTAGTCTGTCAGGATGACAGTAATATGCGCATGTATTTTGGCTCCCTAGACTGATGTGCTGGCAAGAACACTGTGCTTAATTAACCTCAGTAATGATAGGCAACCTATCCTTCTTTGACCTCTGCAATGACTCTTCTTGTGGAGCTGTCACACATGAGGATTAAATCTAGTAATTTGGATTAAGCAACATACATTGGGGCATAAAGTATCTCTAGTCTATGAGATGAAAATTATATCCAGCATTCTGAAAACACTGGAGAGTGGTTGGGAAAAACCTTGAAATTCTCTGGGATTTTCCTCCTAAAGCAATGACTGAAAACCACAACCCTGGCTTGTCTTCTACTTCATGATACTTTACTAAAACAAGTGGTTCTGAGTGTCCCTCTTTTAATGAGTAAGAGACATGATGAATGTATATGTAGACATTTATTTTGTACTGTACAGAGAAATATCAATCCATATGAAGTATATCCTCTGTGGATGCTCTGTGTTGCTAGGGTCTACTTATAAACCTCTTAGCTCAGTGACAGATATAGGACAGTTAAAGAGCTGCATAACAGTTAAATATTTATTTTCTTCCATTTAGTAATTCAGTGATCATGACCAAGAACTTTCATGCTCTGGTATATACAGGAGTAATAAATCTCCCATTCTAAGTGCAAGGTCTTACTGAATTGTTTGTATTCCCCATGAATTTCCTTATACTTTTTGTTTAGGAAGAGGACATCACCAAACTGAGTGACTCCTCTAGTGGTTATTTTTTCTTTTCCACTTAGTTTTTTTTCTCTCTTCCTCCCTAAGTAATGTGGTCATGAGAGACACCAGGCTGGACCTCTGGGTTTATCCTGGGACCTGTCAGAGCAAACTGCTGTGCACACACAGAACCCTTTTGTTTCTAGGAGGTATTTGTGAACACAGCAGTTTGCTCATACAGATTACTAAGATCTTAATCCTCTGTAGTGGTAAATGTTGATGCCAAAACAAATTATTAAAAAAACCCAGCAAAAGCTGTTTTATTATGTTATCCATAGGTCTAGGCAGAGGACATTAGCGGGGAGCATGCACAGCACATTTGAAAGCACATGCATGGCTGGCACATTCTTACTGTCATTACGCCAAGCTCACCCAATGTGGCTGGAAGATTTTTAACATTTAAATGGCATAATCTTAAAAGTACCTATTTTGTTTTTTCAAGAAATGTATGTGAAGTACATGTAGATCAATCAGATCCTGCAGTACGTACAAACTCATCAAAGGTTGGTCTGGAGTGGAAATTTTCTTCTTTCACTACTGTGTGTACTTCCTGCATGGACAGGCCACAACAATTCAACAGGTTTGAGGGTGACATTCATGAATGATAACACCTGCAGGCTAGTACAAGACCTGAGCATGCAAAGCTATTGAGCCAAAGCCAAATCTGGCATCCATAAGTCTGGCTGAACTCTTCCAACTTAACAAAATCAATAAAGTAATACTAATGTAATGTATACAGTGGTTTGTAGAATGACTAGTGTTTTGAATTGATTAATATGAAGTTGAGGTTTTTTCTATCATTACAGATTTCTTGTATAAAATTCCTATGTTTTCATTTCCCTCTTTGTTCTCCTGTAAGTAAAATATCTTTATAGTTATTTAGGAATCTAAGAATTGTGCATTATTTGGCTAAAATGGTTATTTTCCATCACTTTTTACCCCAGAAGTGCCTTGCACCTGTCCCCTGTGCACTTCAGACAGGAGGAGCTGTGTCACAGCCTCTGAAGGAGTCCAGCTTGCAAAGGAACTCGGAGCCACTTACCTTGAACTGCACACTCTAAATGACTTCTACATCCAGAAATACTTTGGAGGAGTGGTGAGTGAGAATCTGCAGCTTTGGAAGCAGGGTGGAACATGCATGAGGTGCATGGCAGATGTGAGGGCTTCAGAGAGCCAGGGGAGGCACACCATGGGCCCTTCCACCAAGTGTCAAGTTCCCACCAAGGCAAAATTCCAGTTAGATATTAGAAAGAAATTCTTCCCAGCGAGGATGGTCAGACAGTGGAACAGAATGGTCTGGGGGGCTGTGAGTGCCCTGTCCTTGGCAGTGTTCTTGGCTGGGTTGGAAGGGGCTTGGAGCAACCTGATCTGTGGAAAGTGTCTCTGCCCATGGCAGGGAGATTGGAAGAACTCAGTGGTCTTCAAGGGACTTTCCAAGCAAAACTATTCTAGGATTCTGTGAGTCTATGATGCTATCTGAATTAGCAGTACCAAGGTTGCTCTGGTTTTAAGTAGGAAGATTTAGGAAAGCTATTTGACGCACTGCAGTAAGTTTTCCACTTGTATTCTTGTCCTTTTATCTTGCTGGCTAACATCCAGCTGAATGAGGCCACTCCCCAAGATAGAATTAGCATCTAAAGAGGTCGGTAAATTGAATGTTGTTGTGTCTGTCAGTTCTAGAAAGATTAAATACACAAGAATTAACCACAATCATTTGAATAAATAGTCTTGTAAATTGTGCTAGTTCTATCTAAATATGGTAGCTTCTCAGAAATGAGTTTTGGGACTCTCCTGGATGACTGGTAATAGTGTCAGCAGCTTTAGTCCTGCATACAGAACCTGTTATACCCCTTAATTTGATGTATAGGTTGTTATTAAATAACAAGTTTTTTTAAAAAAAATACATTTCTTGTCTTAGCTTGAATATTTTATGATCCAAAGTTTGAATCAGAAGTCATCTGAAAAAATGAAGAAAAGGAAAAAGACGCAGAAGTGCCGTCGAGTCCAACCACCTCAGCTTGAACAGCCAGGTGCTCATTGATATCTGGTCTCTAGTATAATTCCTTATGTGTATTACTTTATTTGCACAATCAATATTTTTTACTACATTTTAAAGTAACAATTGTTACTATGAGCTGTGCTATCTATTATCAGCTGTTCTGGTTATGTTGCATCTCCTTTTAGTGATAGTTTAATTTACTTGGGGAGAATTGTATGGCAATATATAACATCGCAATGGGTTTCTAGTTTATTTTAGATATAACTAATAGGAATGGTTTTCTGGTGGACTTACAAAAACATGAATTGATAAAAGCTTTACATGAAGTCTTAGCAGACAGATTAAAAAAGATAGTTGTTAGAGCATGAATTATTACTCTACAGTATAATCAGATAGTGTTTTTGTTTGCTGCAGATAAAGCAAGGGAGAGAAGTACTCACCTGTATGCGATTTCTGAGCATCTGATGCATTTGCTCAGTGAAAAAAGTACTGACAAGCAGTTACCTATAAACCTGTAGTTTTCTCTTCCATGTTCTAAAAATTTGCTCAGACCTCTTAGATTTGGAATACACAGTCCAAGTTTCTTTATAGTGTAACTTTCTATAGAGGGTTTGTGAAAGGACAGACACTTACTATTAAACTAAGCGTTTCTTAACTTACTTACTGTATTAAGTATTTCCATTTTTCAAGTATTTTACTCAAGATATTCGAACAACATATAAGAAATATTCATATTGAAGATCTCTTTTAAAAATTAAACAGACTTGATAAGGTCAGTTGTCCTGTGGTTAGCACTTGCAAAGGTTGTAAAACTTAGGTTTTACAGCCTGACTTCTTTTGCAGAAAAGATGCCGATCCTAAAGGGCGAAGCCTCGCACTACAATGCAGACCTGCACAATCTTCTCTGCTGCTGCCAGTGTGCAGATGTGGCCTTCTACACCGAGGACCTCAGCACAGTGGTGGAGGCTCACAAGATCATCCTCTGCTCTGTCAGCCACCTCTTCATGCTGCTGTTCGGGGTGAAGAGCCCGTCCGACGCGCATGACGCCTCCGTGGTGCAGCTGGCACAGAGCCTCTTCGCGGTGCAGGCAGGGGATCCCTTCCCCTCCTCCCCCCGGGGTGTCCCACCCTGTGTCCCACCAGTCAGGGTGGTGGTGAAGGATTCTGTCTTCTGCTCTTGTCTCCCAGATATCCTCCACTTCATTTATTCAGGTACCTGCAGGGAACAGATCGGGCAACTTATTTCCTATTGTCTCATGGAGGAATATGTGCATCGCCCTAAGGAACTTGGCTTTGCTGTTGCTAGATGATGTCTCACCTTGTTTCCACACCAATTTTATCCCTTGTGATTACTATGCACAATGAAAACACCATCGCCTATAACAAAAATTAGGTTAGTTGTCATTCCAGATTTAATGGGCCTAAATTAAATTAGTCCATAGGCTAATATCAATAACATTCAAAATTTTGCCAAAACAAATTTGGAGTTTGAGTCAGTTTCAGATCCTAGGCTATTAAATATTGTAAATGGTTGCATGTTCTAAACACAAGGGCAAGAGTGCAGAGTTGCTTAAGAAAAACTCAAGTAATATGCAGCTGAAGAGAAAACAGTGATAAGTGGCTGGAGTGTGGAGACCTTTGATGTGTTGCATGAGTTCTGCTACCAGTTGGTACAGTCTGTGACCTCACCTACCTAATGCCAGCTTTCAAAATGGCACTGATATTTTTTTAACTTTTCAGATGTTGCTTAGAATTACTCAGCAGAAAGATTTGGGGGTTTTTTTCTGGAATGCCTGTTTGTTCTTTGTAAAATATTTTACAACCTGTCAGAGAATCTTTCAGCTTTCAGTTGGAGTTTTTAAATCTAAGACACTTCTTTCCAAAATAGTAACAAACATAAAGAATAGATGAAGAAGTTTTCCACTGAAAAAAAATCCATGAATAGATTAATTTTTTTGTTCTTATTTATTTGAGCCAAGGACAGGGGATGAAAACTGGATTTTCAGCAGGTGATGGATAAATACAATATTTTTAATTCGTAGAATAATTTAATAATTTGGGTTGGAAAAGACCTTTAAGATTATCAAGTCCAACCACTAACCCATCACTGCCAAACCCATCACTTAAACCATGTCCCCAGGTGCCACATCTTTGAAGTGTCTCCAGGGATGGTGACCCTACCACTGCCTTGGGCACCTTGTTCCAGTGCTTGACAACCCTTGAGGTGAAGAAATTTTCCTGATACTGAATCTAAACCTCCCCTGGTGCAACTTTAGCTGTTTCCCCTTGTTCTGTTACTTATTACCTGGGAGAAGAGGCTGTCCCCAGCCAGGCTACAACCTCCTTCCAGGCAGTTGAAGAGAGCAACCAGTTCACCCCTGAGCCTCCTTTCCTCCAGTCTAAATATCTTTGTAAACATCTTCATCTGTTACCATCGACAGCTTGGATCTAGTGCCTTGTGTGTGCTAATTTTCCTTTTTTACTTTCCTTTATGTCAGCCAAGGAGCTGTGAAACTTTGCACTTGCAGGCAGAGCTCTGCTTTATGTTTCGGTGCCTCTGAGAGGTGAAAGTGCTTGAGGTAGAGGCTGAGAAGAGAACAAATAATGAGTTTTCAGATTTTCAGGGCTGTGACATAATGCCCATGAGGTTATAAACCCTTAACGAGTCTGGTATAGATGGGATATAACTGAGCTGAGGATGCTGTGTGCTGTAGATGCTGACTGAGTCTCCTGACAGCAGAGCATCTTCAGGGCTGTGCTGAGTTGGGCTTGTTACTGAGCTTGATCTGTTTCTGTCTCCTTCTTGTCCTGGCTTAGAACTGAAAGTTACCACAAAACCTCACTTTGCCTCTGAGACTTACTCCAGCAAAGTGCATGAGGATAAACTATCTTTGTTTTCACTCTCTTCATTTTTCCAAGAAAGCTATTGAGACACCTCAGTGAATGTCATGGCTTTGACTGTGAAAACAAGAATAAAAGAAATTCTGCTGCAAATTTTGTGCTGATTTTAGCTGTGAGGACTAAGAATGTAACTGTGCATTAAATTTTTCTAGCCCGACCCCTACAGAACAATACAGCCAGCAGCAGAAGCAGAAGCTAAAATATTTCCACAAATGTTGAAACATTAAGGATTTTTTTTTCTGAATCTCTACCTGCAATTTGCAGTGACTGAACTGGGAGGAATGAATAGATTGAGTGTGAAAGCAAGTGAGATGTTCTAGTCTGTTAGTACTTGGTTGCACAATAAAAAGTACCATGGAAATTTAATGAGCAAAAATTGCATTCTGCCCTTCCTAAAAACAAAGATCTGGCTGATTTATGTGCAAACCCCCTACCATTTCTGCAGGATGTGTTTGGCATTGATGTCATCTTTCCTCTGCCTGCTGAGGCCTGTGCCTTGCTGAATTATTATCTGTCTCCCCCTGGTTTTGTGATAGGTGCTTTCCAGTGGGAACGATTAGAAGAGGACATAAGAAAGAAGCTGAAGGATCCAGATAAAACAGAACATGTGCTTGAGAAAGTTAAATGCATCCTGAAAACTCCAGGAAAGGTACATTTAACTCCCTTGGGTCACCATTTGTTACTTAAATTTTTGAGAAATTGTTTTGTAGACAAGGTTTTCTTGTCAGTCTGTGTTTTAAAGTTACTTTGGATTAAACAGCCTGTACTTTTTCATGTTTCAGTGGGTAGTTTGCAGGCACATACACAGAGATCCTGATGTAACATGCAGAATTAATGTAATTGGTAAAAGCCACACAAGCAGGTATTCTAAAGGGATTACTTGTATTCACAGCTTTAAACATTATCTGCCAATATGATTATCTGTTGCTAATTCCCATGTAATAGAGGTTTCCCAGGAAAGATTTGCTCCTGAACATAAGCCAAAAATTGGGCTTCTGCAATAGATCTAGAGGGGTGGTTCCTCATATAAATGCTGTGATGTGTAAAGCTGTCTGTAACTCAATATATTTAATTCAGTAGAAGACCACACAAAAAATGTAACATATTATTAAGTTAATAAAAGGTCACAATGTAGAATTAGTTTTAATACAGAATTAGTTTTTACAGACATTTTTTCTTGGAGCATAGACATCAAAAAGTCACTGAACTGTTTTCAGCTTATGACTGCTCTGTTTTAGGCTTACCAGCGCTTAGTGCCCACAGCTAAAACATTTATAGGTTTGGCCTTGGAGAGCCTGAAGATTTTTAAGACAGTGAGCCTGAGCTGTAGTTTCTTTTAGTTTCTTTCTTGTAGTTTCTTTTATTCTTTTTTTATGCTTTTAGGGTACTCTTATTTCTCATTTAAGCTTTTTTTTTAAGTCAAAAAGAAGGAATTGTGATTTTTTTCTTCGTAAAACTAAAAATTTTATAAATTTAGCATTTTAACCATAAATTCAACCTCATCTGAATTTCACTTGTCAGAATCCAGCAACACAATTTAAATGTAGTTCCTTTTGTCAGCTTTAGATTATGCTTTTAAGGTAAGAAAACCAAAACTGAAAACTAACTGGGTGGGAGTACTGGGTTTTGGAGGGTCTTGACACTACCAGGTTATTGTAAGAGGAGTCTGTCCTCCCGCCTGTGAGCTCCCCCTGCCTCTGTGGAGGTAATTCCAGGGCAATATAAACACCAAACTTTGAGCTGCCTTGCCTTTATACACGGCATCACTGCAGGGTGGATGTGTGTCCCATCCCGGCTCCCCCCAGAGCCCTCAGACCTCGTTCTGCTGCAGCATTGGGTCTGCACAGGGAATGTCTGCAAAGGTTGGGACTCCAGAAAACTGGTGAAGCCCAACCTGCTTGTAGGGGCTGGATGGGGGAGCTCAAGAATTCCAAGAAGAGAGCTGAGGTGTGACTGCGAGGGACAAGAGACCCCTCAGAGCTGCTGCACTGCAGGGAATAAGGAATTAGAAGATAAAAGGTGATTACAGAGGAATGCACATGCCAGAAGCTGTTGTTTATTTTCCCATATAAATGATGTCCCATAATATTTAGTTCTGTGGGCAGCCGCACATGACAGCACTTTATTACAAATTTATTTTTCAGCTAAACACTGTAAAGGACTGCAAGTCTCACCAGATAAAACGGCTCTATAATACTTCTCTCAGGCTATTCTTTAACACACCTGTGCTGGCTGATGTAATCTTCAAAATACAAGGTACAGTACCACTTGGCATCCATCCTTTTCCCTTTTTCCCCTCTTCAAGAATGTGGGACATGGAGGTGACTATGGTATCAAAACTAAGGAATTATGAGTGCTTTGCTGTCACTGTGGAAAGCAGGGAAATCTTGTCCCTGTGGATGCCCTGCACTATGGTTCATCTGGGCTGAGCCTATAGGAATTCCCTCTCCCTGTCACGGCACACTGTGCCTCCCTGATTGACATTATTTTTTATTCTATTTTATTCTGTTTTGGTTTACTTCAAATGTGCTGCAGTGTCAGGATTCAATGTTTTGTCTGGAAATTAAATGTGTTCATTGTTACAGTGAAAGATGCAGTGTGAGAAATGTGTTGCATGCTTTTGTAAGAATAAGAATGAGATGGTTTTTAAAAGCTAACGCTATTTCTTAGTCTGTCCATACTCGCCCTTCATGCAGAAATGGCCTTCTAGAATTACATAATTATTTTCAGCTGTATATTTCAGGGACAAATATGAAGCATTAGCTCCTCAAATATAAGCACAGGTCAAGGAGACTCTTTCTAGATGTTCTGTTTAACACACAGAAAAAACTCCTCAAAAATATCATTGTAAAGGAGAGGAAAATACTGATTTTGACCTCAATGACATGAACAATTCACCTCAGTGTCCCACTCCTGAGAGAGTCTTTGTGGGAAGCTGATGCCTTTTGCAGCTTTCCCAAAACCCTCTGATTTTATAGATTCCCACACAACGCTATGTATTTTACAGAAATAAAACCCAAATATCTGGGTTGAGGAGTATTTTTAAAAAGCATGCTTATCCGCTAATAAAATGTGAACTGTTTTTCCTAATAATTGATACATCTTCCAATTTTTTTCCTCAAATTCATCCATCAGAGCAATTGTATCAAAATTAAATAACTACTAAGATAAATTGAAGGCCCTAATCTTAACCAGACAACCAAATTTGTAAGGTTTTGAGCAATTCCTTGGATACTTATCATTACTTTGAGTTTTCTAGCTTACAGAAGTATGGAAGCCAGGAAAAATTTGAGCCCATTGTGTCTGTGTAAAGACACAGAACGTGACTGAACATCTTAATTAGTGCATAAGTGTCCATTCACAAGCACGTACAGGACATATAGCATGCAGCTTAGACATTTTGAAAGTGGAAGTACAGGACGTAGAAACAGAAGACGAAAAATGCCAGAAGATTTCAAAAAATTTCTCAGGTACCAATGTTGTGATTAAAGACATTTAATGTCTTTAATTTAAACAGTAACTTCTTTGTAAGTATATACAGTATATTGCATGTGAGTTGATCTGTTTATTATAATTTAGATTAAAACATTTACATCCAACTCTAAATGTTCATTTTGGGTTTGGTTGCTGTCCTGACTGGCACTTGCTTGGCACTTCCTTGCATACTGAGTGGGACTGATCAGTCCAGCTGGACTCTGCAGCCTGAAAAACCTCTACCATCCTGGGCTTTTGGCCTCTTCATGTCTTCCAAAGGCTGTGGAAAAGCAAAGGGTTCACTTGCAAATAATAGAAAATGAATAAATTTCTGGGAAAAAATCATCAGTGGTTTTTTCATAAGACAACCATTCAGGAAATTCACTTAGGCACAGTATTTAATCCAGTTAAATTTATACTTAATTACTGGACTTAATGGAATTTCATCTGGAAAAATTTGCTTTTCTCTGCTTTGTATGGTCATTCTGTACAAATATCACTTACCAGCAGGGTTACTGGTGAGCATAAATGACTCTTCATAGAATCATTCAGGTTGGAAATGACCCCTAAGATCATCAAGTCCAACTATTAACCATTTGCATAACAATTCATAATGCTGAATATTTACAAAATGGGCTGGAGGTTCAGTTGGTGTGAACAGATTTATTCTATTTTGTCTATTCTCAGTTGGTTTAGTCTATTGCATTTTGGATAAATAATTTTTTGTTTGTTGATTTTGTTTTATTTTACTATTCATTATTCATCCTAACTAGTATGAAGTGAGTGTGTTGTTAGTCATTGTCAACTTTCAACACTTTAATCAGGTTCAGTGGGGTGAAGACCTCCTAAGAAGACATGAACTTTAAAATGAAGATCTTTCTATGTTATATAAAATCATTGTATATTTATTTTTGTCTTGCATCCTGCAGGTGCAACTGTTCCAGCCCACAGGGCAGTTCTGGTGGCTCGCTGTGAGGTTATGGCAGCTATGTTTAATGGTAATTATCTAGAAGCAAATAGCATTCAGGTTCCAGTGTATGGGGTTTCAAAAGACACTTTCCTGTCTTTCCTAGAGTACCTTTACACTGACTCCTGCTGCCCAGGTAAGGAAACTGTAAAATACAGTTCTATATCTGTAACTCATTTTTCCACAGCAGGGCATGGATAGAGAGTAATGTAGCAGCATCTCTTTGATTGAAAAATGCCAATATTTGAATGTGCAATGTCTCGAGAAAGATAACATTTTTTTATTATGCAATAAAAAAGGAAATCTGTCCTATACAAGTAAAATAGAAGAAATATTTCTAATAAAATTATTTATTTGCTTTGTGCTCACATAACAAGACTCAAAGAAGTTTCAATTTCATTTCTGATCCATTATAATATTTTAATTTTTTTTTACATTACAGTAATACTGTTTTCTAGTCTGGATTCTGTGTTAAATTTAAAAGTTGTCACTTCTTGAACATGCATGTAGCTGAGTGTATTTTAAACAAGGCTAAATTGCAGGAATATCTTATTTATACACATGGTTATTTTATATGTATGTAAACCCAGAAAAATATGCCAACAGGAGTGTTTGGCAAAAAAAAATTGAGCTAAAATATTCTTTACATCTCGATCTTTATCTTTCTTGTGAGAAGAAAATCTGAATACTAAATCTAAAACTTGATTTAAATTCAGCTAATTTTTCCTTGATATAATGAATAAATGATATTTTGATATGTATTTTTTCTTTGGTTTTCTTTTGAAATAATAATTATTCTACCTTATTCTTAGATATTCAATGTTTCTGTTTTCACTCCACCTACCACTTCCTTGTTTATCAGTTTAAAAATGCAACTACCATGCTATATTTTAAAAAAAAAAGTTTCTCTTTTTTTTGTCTTTGGACTTTTGGCTATATATTCTTCTATCATAAAAGTGCTTTTCTGAAAGAGAACTTAGCTAAATCCACTTACTACTTCTCAGTTACTCTAAATAAATCAGCAGCACTTGACTCATCATCTTCAAGATCCACAATATTGACAGCAATTCTTTACACCCATCTGCCAAAAAGTTCTAAACACATTTTTTCTTCTTAATTGAATAGCTTATCTGGAATAATAAGATGATCCAGCAAACAAAAATTTATAATAATGGAAAAAATAAAACAGGGTGATCACAGGAGTCTGATTTTGTGGTTTTTGTTATTTAAAATTCAACTTGGTGAAAAGTAGCTTTGATCATCCTGTCAGAAAGGCAAAATACATGTAACTTGTGTCTTCTTGTTTTTTAGCCAGTATTCTCCAGGCGATGTCTCTGCTGATCTGTGCAGAGATGTACCAAGTAATGAGACTCCAGCATATTTGTGAACTTTACATCATCACGCAGCTTCAGAGCATGCCTAGCAGGGAACTGGCTTCCACAAGCCTCAGTATTGTTAGCTTGCTCAAAAAAGCTAAGGTACTTACTGTATATATGAAATGAGAATATATATGTTGACTTTTATATGTTGTTTTAAAAATTTTAAGAATATCAAGAAGAATTTCTGTTCCCAAGGAAACATGTTGGTATAAAATTTGTTTATTAGGGATAACTGGTGACACAAGGGTGGCCAGAAGAAATCCTTCAGCCTTTAATTGCTGATTGTGCAGTTACAGAATCACAGAATTGCCTCTACAACTGTACCCAAGCCTGCTCCAGAGCTTGACAACCTTTACCATGAAGAAATTTTTCCTACTATTCAACCTAAACCTCCCTGGCACAACCTGAGGCTATTTCCTCTTGTCCTGTCACTTTTTATCGGGGAGAAGAGACTGACCCCCCACCTGTCCACAACTTCCTTTCAGGGAGTTGTAGAGTGTGATAAGGTCTCCCAGAGCCTCTTTTTTTTTCCAGGATAAAAACCCCACCACCTTCAGCTGCTCCCCATAAGATTTGGGCTCCAGACCCTCTAGTCACACCCTCATCTGTAAAATTTATTTTATCATGGACACACTGCAGTAATTCAACTTAACTACAGCTTGTTCCAGGAAAGATGGGTTTTAGGCAAATAAAGATGTGCTCATTCCTCTTTTAGTCAAAAAAGAAAATTATGTGGTATGCAGGTGACAAAGGAGTTCCAACTGCATAGAATATTGAGAGAAATGCATAAAGGCAGGAAGAGTAAAGATTAGATGCTAAAAAAGAGAGACAATAAAGACAGGGTTGGAAAACAGAAGAGGAAAATAAAAACTAGATTGTAGGATATTGCCTTAATCAAATAGGATTTTCTGCAGCAAGAGGAGACCACAAAACCAACATGCCACATTCCTTCCCTTGATTCCTGTGAAGCTCTGCCTCTGTGCAGATGTAAAAATTTCCAAGATTCATGATACCTCAGGGGTTTTTTCTACCTCTGGGAGAGAGACTTTGTTAATTTGTTCTTGTGTGTTCACCTGTTTATGTATTTCCATTAAATTACTTTTCTTTCATTATCTTCTATAGTCAAAACTTTATTTAGTAAATTGCTTCACAATGGAAACCAGAAATATTTTGACATGTGAGATGTGGTTATGTTTAGACGTGATAGCATTTAAGTGGTTTCTTGTCTTTTCTTTCTTCCCACAGTTTCACAATTCTGATTGCCTTTCAACTTGGCTTCTTCATTTTATTGCCACTAACTACCTCATCTTCAGTCAAAAGCCTGAATTCCAAGAACTTTCAGGTATTTTTCTGTTCAATTTGAAAAGACAAATGTTTTTATGTTTTGCTGAGGTAAAAAGCGATGTTCTGGATAATACCATTTTTGCATGAGAAAATAATTAGGGTTTCTTTAGGATATTCCAGCAGGCTGTTTCACCACTCTGGCATAAGATCAGCACACAACATGACACAGCCAGCACTGCATCACCATTTTTATCGGTCCTGTTGGGACGGCCAGGTTCCCACCCATAACTGAATTTACTGGACCAGTTTGGTCATTGTATGTCAACCCCTTCATATTATCATGCTAATTTAAATCAAGGTAATGGGTCATTTTTGATACTTCTTCAAGTACTGGGGTTTTCCTTTAAGAAAGTAGGATGCTTATAGTAGGCTCCAGCAGATCTTATAAAATGAAAAAATGATGGCCCATTCAAGTAAACAAATCCACTTTCTTCCAGGGACCTGATTTTTATTTTTCCAAGCATTTGTATATGCTTCTGGTGGTGTAACAAGAAAGTTTTGCTCATTGCCTGTGTGATTTTCATTTACCCTGATGAGGGGTGCATCTCTTTGACCGGCGATACCTCATCATCTTAAGGTTCAGGACAGCAAAACAGCAGCAGGCAGCGGCTCTCCAAGGGCTTTCCAAGACCTGAGACCTTCATAGAAATGCAGAATTAGCTGAGTTGGAAGAACACAAAAGGATCACTGAGTGCAACTCCTGGATCTGCACACCACCATCCCCAAGAGTCACACCATGGAGTATTGTCCAAAAGCTTCATGAATACTGTCAGGCTGGTGCTGTGACCACTCCCCTGGGGAGCCTGTTCCAAAGCCGAAATACACACTGTGGGAAGAACCTTTTCCTAATCCAGCCTAAATCTCCCCAAGGAGGTCTGAACACAACTTCAGGCCATACCCTTCGAGTGTCTGCCCCTCCTTTTCCTGTCTGCCCATCTTCTTCCCCTCACAAGGAAGTTGCAGACCCCACTGAGGTCTCCCCTCAGTCTCCTCCAGGCTGAACAGACCAAGTGCCCTCAGATGCTCCTCACACAGCTTCCACTCAAGGCCCTTTGCTGCCCTCCTTTGGACACTCTCTAATAGTTTTAATGTCATCCTTACACTGTAGTGCCCCAGTCTGCCCCAGACTTGAGGCGGTGCCATCCCAGTGGACAGCAGAGCAGGACAATCCCCTCTCTTGCCTGGCTCGCCATGCTTGGCCTGGTACCCCCAGGACAGGAATGTCCCTCCTGGCTGCCAGGACACTTCTGACTCAACTTGTCATCGACCAGGACCCCCAGATCCCTTTCCAGGGCACTGCTCTCCAACACCTCATTCCTCAGTCTGCCCATACATCCAGGGTTACCCCATCCCAAGTGCAGAGTCCAGCACTTTCCCTTTCTGAACTTCCTATGTTTGGTGATCACCCAGTCTTCTAATTCATTGAGGCCTCTCTGAAAGGGCCTCCCTGCCTTTGAGGAAGTCAGCAGCTCCTTCCAGATTTGTAGCATCTGCAAACTTGCCTGTGTCCTTTCCAGTCTTCCATCTGGGGCAGTTATGAAGATGTTGGAGAGCACAGGGCCAAGGATGGAGGCCTTTGGAACCCCACTAGTGACAGGTCCCCAGTCTGATGTCACCCCAGTAACCCTTTGTGCCTGACCTGCGAGCCAGCTGCTCACCCTTCACATGATGTGTTTATCCAGCTGTGAGCTGGACATTTTGTCAAGAAAGATCTGGTTTTAGTGAGAAACAGTACAAAAAGCTTTACTGACATGCAAAAACATTACATCAACTGGCTTCCCTTGATCAGTTAGATAGGTTACCTTGCCATAGAGGAAATCAGATTTGATTAGCAGGATATTCCCCTGAGGATTGAAGCCCTGCCTTGTGCCCAGGTGAGTGGAGTTGGCCTGCCCTCAGGCTCTCCCAGCTGTGAACTCTCTGCCTTTGTCTGTTGCCCTCAAGGAGCAATGGATGCAATCTGACTCTGGAATATCTGGGGTTAGGGGATGAAAATGTATCTTTCTGCAAATGCAGAGAAGAGTAATCTACCTAATATGGTTAAAAGACTCTTATATGACTATGTCAGCGATTAAAACCATATGCAATAAGAGATTAATGTCTTGCTGAATTCTTAGCTGCATTCCTCACCTTGCTTTCTGTACTGATCTTGAGACAAACTCCTGGCACAGGAATTGATAAACCCTGCTTTATAGTTCTGCAGTATAAAAAAAATCCTTGCATACCACATATGACTGTTCTCTAGGAATAAAGTATGCTCATCTTTAGGAATATCTTTCTGCTCTCCTTAATTAGTATTGTATTCATTTTTTCAAAAAACCTTTTTTATTACTAACTTAATAATAAGGAAACATTGTGTGGAAACTCTTACGTCTATGCCATAGTAGAGCTTAAAGCAAAACAGGCAGTACTCACCTTTATTTTTGCAATTTTATTTATATCTTTAATGGAGTTTTTATCTATTTTAAAATACTTTTTGCAGCCTGTGCACATTTGCTCTATGTCTATATATATTGCATTTAATTTCTTTATTTCTTTTTCTAGTGGAAGAGCGCAATTTTGTAGAGATGCACCGATGGCCTTCAAACTTGTACCTGAAGCAGCTTGCTGATTACAGGAATTATATCCACTCTCAGAAATGCCACTGCACAGTAATGTAAAGAGACTGAGTACATACAAAGTACATTTCAACTGCAAAATTTCAGATTGGGGATTATACAGAATATAAAAACTATGTCAAGAGTGAAACCTGATTCTTACCTCCTCTGGAAATTACAGACATTGTTTGTTTTGCTAACAAATCACTCTAATTTTTACCTTGAAGCATTGAGAAATGTACGTTGAAGATTTATTTTAAGCACAAGGACTTCATATTCATGGGGATTAAATGTATTATAGGACAGTGTGATGACTGGCATCCACTCCCCTTTCTAATTTCCTTTTTGTTTATTTTATTGTTTTTCATGGTTATTTGTGGCTGCTAAACTGAATCTGTTGAAAATAGACTGGTTTTGTAAATCTGTGTGTATTAGAAGCATAAGAGTACAGTAGCAGTGCAGGGAAGCTGAGAAGCCAGGTCATAGGTTCTTCATAGACTTCAGGATGCAAAAATTTTCTGCAGCATTTGTTAGTTCACAATATAACGGGTAGGCTTAAGAAGCATTGTAGTTACTATTAATTTATTACTCCAGAGAAAGCCTGTAGTTCTGTTACAACCCTATGAGTAGATATTTTCATTCCAGAGGAATGCCTATGCATCACGGTACTCTCTAGTGCCTCCAAATATCTAAAGATTGACATAATTTTTCCTGCCAGTAGGTAGGAGAAGAAAGCCTGTTTTCACAATCTGCAGAACACCTTTGATAGTGTGGTCATATTGTATTTTTCCCCATGAGGAATAAAGAGAGGGAAAATTACATATGCACAGAGCAAATCTGTATGGTACTGATGGACAGGGAAGAAAGGCAGAGGGGTCAACAGCCTTTCTTAGGGTTTGAGCAAAAAATCTCACTAGTAGAAGTGGCTTTTTTGGGAAAAGTGTGTCTAGTAGTCATGGTCACCACAATACATGTTAGATGTGCTGGCTATGAGGGAGATGACCCTCACAGATTTGGGATGTTGGCTTTTGTGGTGGGATTTTGAGCTCAAACCTCCCCAGCAGGGACTCAGTTCAAGTTCAGTTATCATCATGTGCTCGTAAGCTACACCGTGTGAGACAAACCTAGCTGTGGATCCTTTCTGAGACACAAGAGAAAAACCCAGAATATTATGACTGGCGTGATCCTTGCAGATGCTATTTATCATTTTCTTGACCAAAACAACTTGTCATGCTGCTGACTTGTATATACATGAGCTAATGCCAAAATTAACTGAGCCTTTTCCTGAGCATAGGTGCTTTTCTAGAAGCAAAATCTAATCAAGGAACTAAACACCTCATTATCATTCTTGTACTTTCAATTCTGGCTTTTCTTCTGCCTTTCTAATGTGGTATGTAGCCTGAGACTGTGGCATTGCTACCACATCAAATGTATCTGGAAAATGCATCTATGAGAAGGTGCAAAAACATTGCAAAATTGCTGGAGCTGAATCTTTTTTTTTTTAAGGTATAAGAATTGTTATATTTTTCAATACCATTTTCTAGATAAATTGTTCTTTTCAAATTCCATTCTAGAGTCATTGAGATTTTTTTTGGTGATACTTTGCAGAACTTGAGAGGGTGTTTCCTTCCCTATTTTTGTATGCACACAAAATAAAAAAGAGTTTATGACTCAGCTGGCTGCTGCAGACTCAAAATTCCAAGGTTCCTTTTAGGCAAGAATGATTTTTTTTAAAAAAAAAAACACTCTGCATCTGCAGATCCTAAAGTTATTTAAAAGATGAATATACTTATCTACATTTTCCATATAGGGAGCCTAAAATATAGAAAATGATAATGCTTTTTCAAGATCATGAAAGAAAACTGAAATTATTAAACAGAAAAATTAGTAGGAAAGTAATATGTATGGAACTTACACATGAAAAAAGATGTTTTTATAGTTATATAGTCATCAAAAATTTAAGCAAAAATGAAATTACTGGATAGATATTAATAAAACTGTAAGTTTTTTGAAGCTTAAAGTCATGGAAAAATTTGTGCATACAGTTAAACTACAGCTTGTCTAGACATCTGATAGCATCCTTGGGTGCTTCTACCAGAAGTCAGCTCAAATATCAAAAGTAGGGATTAAATGCTTCGTACTGACAACCTGTGCAAAAGTGATACAAAAGCTCTGTGAATGTTAGTCTAAGCTAATGTAGTACTGCATTTTTAATATTTTGAAAGCTTTCCCAGTTTTTTCACTAGGAATTAGTCTGTTGCCAATGATTTGTGTATAGATAACACATAAGAAAGTACTGGTTTTAATTTTCTGTAAATGTTTTATACGTATTTAAAAATAGGCTTAATGGAAATATAAGCACTTTATATCCAAACCAGAGAAATATTTTGCTATTATGCATTTTAGACAGTGATAGCCACAGGTTTTACACAGACAAGTAAGGCAGTATAAAATATTTAGTATTTATTCAGAGATTCAGAGATTAATGCTTACTACTGTTCAGACAATAAACCAAGTTTCCATTTTGCTTTGTATCCCCATAATGCTGCCTGTATCAGGTGCAGATGTGTTGTACTTGCAGACATACACCATCTGATATATTTTAAGTCTTAGAAGAAATCTTACTAGACATTCTTACTTTCATCTGTAAGATGATTTTCTGTAGAAAAGTATGTACCTTTGAGCTATTTTAAAATCTTTTTTAGCATTTGGAAACATGACTGAAAGTGGATAATGATGCTTTGTGAGTTGCTATTCTTAGCTGGTTTTAGTGGAGGCTTTAGGACTGTATCCATCGCAGATAGTCAGGAATTAGGGCAGTACTGAATTTGGTATTTATTTATAACTGTGTATGGCATAAAGTAAAAACTGCTTTGATATAAACCCACCCACCTTATACTATGGTATAAAGTAAAAACCAGGAACCAATTAGGAAAAAAAAGTTATTTTAGGAAGTGGTATTTAAAAAAAAAATGTTTCTGGAATGCTTCCACTGGTTCCAACACCTCCCAAACTCCCCTGGCACTAGCAGCATTTGGCTGAAAGAAAGAGGCCAGTGGTGAATTTCGATGTCCCTAGGCAGTACCTATAGCATTTGAAATTATATATTTAGGCTTAAGTTTTAGACTTAATTTTTGCTATCCTATATATGTGTGTTCTCGTCCCAAACTAGCACTAAGCTTTATAGAGACTAAAAAAAAATTTTTCTGCACTAGTAAGGTTTTCCACATGATAGTCAGAAAACCTTTGCTATTGTCCTTAAGCCATGGTGGGGTTGATTTGAAAAAAAAACCAAAAAAACAAAAAAAAAACAAAACAAAAAAAAACCCACAAAAAAAAAAAAAAAAAAACCAAAACCCAACAACCTGTTAGAAAAAATAATAACTATTTTATTAGGCACATCCTGAAACACTTGTATGTTTTTCTTTTAATGTACCCTGACTAAATAACAGATTTTTAGATTGAATATGTAAAAATTTTGATACAAAATTTAAAAAAAGTTCTCTAATCAGCCTTATGTGATTACTTATGGATATGTATTAACATACTTGAGTGTTACACTGGTGATATGTTTTGTAGCTTATTGGAATCATAGAACCATAATGGCTTGGGAAAAGCCATTGGCTTGAGTTGCAAGGGACTTAAAGATCATCTTGTCCCAACATCCCTGTCATGGGTAGGGACACTTTCCACTAGACCAGGCTGGTTAAAACCCTAGCCTCACCTTGGACACCCAGATCCTCAAGTGAGCACCCACTGAGCCACAAGAGCAGCACTGAGCACTGATGGAAGCTGCAGGCACTGTCTCACAAGCCAGAGTGTGTTCAGGCAGCAGGGGAGAATTTGGGAGGAAGGGAGGAATGGTTTGGTTTATGAAGCATTGAAGAAAGACGGAAGAAAAAGGAAGGGGAGATCAGATAGGAGAGGATCACCAGTCTTGGGTCCAGCATTGATCCAGCTAGTTCCCCACCCAGGCTCTGTGGGGGTACTATTTTATAGGTAAGTATATGTAGGCTCCCTGCATTTTTTTGTTACCTGTCAGACTTTTGCAGTGGTTCTGAAAACAGGAGGCAACAAGGACACTATTAAGACTCATCCCATCTTCACTGTAAATCTGTGGGAACCTGCTCATCTTTTTCCTAAAAGCTTGTCTGGTGAGATTTTTGCTATCTTGTGGCAAGTGCAGAACTGCAAGAAATTTACTGTGGAAAGGGATGGATGGGTGGATAATTAGAAATCATGCAGAGGATTGGCACTAACTTTGCTGTAGATGGCATCTTCTTTCCAGGGTTGTGACAGGGTATTCAGCCATCATGAGTTACCTGAGATCATTCATGCCCACTTCACTTCAGTGTACTAGGGGAAGCTCTGCTGGTGGAGAGCAAGTGAAACAGTATTTGCTGTTATCGTAAGTCCACAGCAGCTCTTAGAAAACACTACAAAAACTGGTGTCAGTACAAAGACAGATATAGCAGCCAGTCCAGGTCTGCTCCAGAAGCCTGAGGTTAAACACAGAGAAGGCAAACACCTAAGGCAGCAACACTTCACCCAAGTACAGAGGGTAGTTTGGGGTGGAAGGTTGAATTCTGGTCAAAGCTTTATTTTTAAAAGGTTTGCAGTTATTCTTCTCCAGGTCAGTACTTCTGACTTTTTGGTAAAGTGATGTCTTCACAGAATGTTTTTACTGTGTGTATTTTGCAGTGAATGTTATTATTTTGAAAATAGCTATTTTGAAAACATCTTATTAAGTCTTGAAGCCATTATTAGCCTGTATATGTGGCTGTCACATTTGGAAAGGAGGAGGAGGTTCAGGTCAAGTGGTGGGGAAAACATCCAATCCTCCAGTATTGAGATCCATCCCTTTCCTTAGTCCTGCTCCACTCCCAGCCTCTTGTTCAAGGACAGCTGAAAACGAAGGCTGAGGCCAATAGGAATATCGCTCTATACATCTTCATCGTGTGCAAGCTGCTGGTCAAGTTCTTTGTGTGTCAGGGAGGCAGATGTCATGAGGAAAGCCAGCCCTGATTCTGATTTTTGTGGCTGTCAGGGTGAAGACTGTTTTAGGGTTTTTAACCTGAAAGATTTTCCATGTGATCTGGAGATTCACCTAGGAACTCCAAGCTGAAGACATGAAATTCTCAATATTCTTTGCTCAAAAGGATAAAGACTGGGGGGCTGGCTATAGGCTGTAAATGCAAATCAACAACTACCTACATTCCTTTATATGTTCAGCCATGCTCAGTTAACAAGAGAAATCAGCTGGACAAGCCTGGGCCATGACATGCCCATCCTTTTGAAGACCAAGGAT